CCTAAAATCACCTCGATAGCGTGCAATTATAGCTCTCGACAGTTATATTTTCAGCCTTTTTACAGCTTAACAGAACAATTCTTAACAATATTTTGTATTGTATTATGAATCGTTAATTCACTTATCCCGGTTATTATTCACTTACCCCACCTGACCTTATCAGATTCGCTTAACTCATTTGTATCATGACCCACTGGGAGATTTTACGGTGTCCGGGGGCTTAGTTCAACCTTGGCGCCTTCATTCGTTTTTCATCTCCATAGTATGAGTTGTTTTTCTATAAAATGTTAAATTTTTTCAATGCTGAATGCATTTTTTTTGTCAAAATGTCGCATGAATATGCATATTTTATTAAACGATTTTGGTCAGAAAATTCGTTGGCGTTTTTGTGTCTTTCTTTGAAAAACACATAAATGTCTTGCCATAGTTCAAACGTTTTTATTTTTTCTATTTTAATGTCCTCGTTTAATATTTTCCCGAATTTTCAATTTCGATGTGATATTTTTTCTTGAAATACTTTCCCCGAGTGGAACAATATCATTTGCCTAGTAAAAATATAAGATTATTCGCAGTTTTTATTTCCCTGATTTTTACGGCCACGCGTTTTATATCTTTTATGTTTTCTGTTCTCTCCACTCCCATTTATGACAATTCAGAATTTAAGACAGGCAGAAGTACGGAATGGAACGATGTCTAAAAGTGGACGTGGTGCAATTTTGTACTGGCCTCCGTCATCGTTCACTTCTCCTGCCGAAATTTTAATCTGCAGTTTTAACAACAATTATGTCGAAATTTCCGAACGATTTTCAACCGCTAGCCGCAGTTTCACGACAACGGGTTCGCTCTGTATAACGTTATTATTATTTTTTGAAAGTCTTCGGCGGTAATTATTATCCAAATCGGGTCGTCGTCGACCGAGCAACAAACAGTAGCACCGCGTAAGACTTCCACGCCGAAAACAAATCACGGCGACAGTAATGTAAACCAATATTAATATATTCTCAAGTCTGATACATCGCGTTTAGTTTATACGAACGCGTATAACAGTACGGTGGTTTTTGATTAGACGGAACGCCGCCATCGCGCCGTCCGAGCGTTCGGAGAGAGACTCTGCGTTGTTACACGCTGCTGCGGGAAGGGTGGTAAAAAAAAAAAAAAAACAAAAACCAAATTAAACGAAACCCGAAAAGCGATCGACCCGGTGGGTATAATAAACGCACGAGACACTCCTGTATCATTTCGAACGCCTCCTGCCGCCGCCGCGACCGGCGCGGATCGCAGGGTGGGGTGTCGCAGGGTGTCGGTAAATGAGACGAAACGAGGCGTCAACCGCGCGTACGATGTTACGGTGAAGCGGACTAGCGCACGGTGTACGCGGTCTGCAGTGTCAGTTGCACGTAATACGCGGAGTTGGTTACCGCGGTGTTGGGCGTCTAGACGAGAAATCGTTACTGGTTTTTTTTTTTGTTTTTTTTTGGCCGCGTGCGTGGTGGTTTAACGCGCGTAGGTCGCGCCGAAAACCCTCCCGCTCCCGCTCCCGCAACCCCGTTCGATACCGGTACGCGAAACGCGACCGCGATAAGAAAATTCCGTTCGAGACGATCGGCGAGCGTGTGTGTACGAGCGCTGTGTGAGTACACAGCGTCCGGCGTCCGGACCGTTTGGATTTCCTCCGGTTGACCGCCGTGCGCGTAACCTGCCGAAGTTCGAATATCCGCGGACTCGTCATTATTCGCAACCGGTCGATCGCGGCTTATCGCAATATCGCCGTCCAAAGGCGGGCAGTTCGAAATTAACGGATACGACGTACGCGGCGTGCGCACGTTTCGTAAACGAATGTTTGCCGAGCGGACGGTTCGACAAATGCCCCGGCGACGTTGCGCTCGTTCGCGCCGCGCCGGCACCCGGCAATAATTGACGTTCGCGCCCGTCAGCCGCTTCCGCCAATACGGAAACGGTCCGACTGCCGTATCCGCCGAACACACTATTTCTGTCTACATTATCGAGACGGGGTCTGGCGAACCCCGTGTGCAGTCCACGTACGGTGTTTTCGACCATCGATGTACGTCGAGATAATCGATTTTACACGGATTATTAATTCGCACCTATTATAAATCGATTTAATCTATCTCCTCGTACGTCGTGCGTAATGACGGTGTACGTGCGCTGTGGGGCCGAGAGTTCGCTGTGAGCGAATCGCGATAACGACGACGGGATTTCGAGTATACCGATAGTGAGTAAACGCGGTGAAAAACAAAAACGGTTTTTTTTTTATCGATGTGATCAAATTTAATTTTTCGTAGGCAGAAACAAATTTGGCGGAAACGACTGACGCCCATATTCCCTGGATGACTCTAAATGGACGGATCTGTCTCAAACTATAATTTAGATAGGTAGGTAGAAACAGATTCGGCAGGAGCGAAAATCGAACTTTTTTAATTTCGGCGGAAACGACGACCGCCTACGTTTTCGCAGTAAATATGTCCGGTCTACTGTTGTATAGCGGGTCGGAGACGAACCGTTGGTATTTTTTCGACGAAAATATCGAATTAGTCAATACATGTTGTGATGGTCCGAGTTTTAGTTTATTTTCAACATTTTCGACGTTTTTAAATCTATTATTAAACTTTGATTCGGCGAGTTGCAGATTTTATTGTTCCTGTTGTTTGTCAGCTTTTGACCGGGCGGGTTTTTTTTTTTCGTTCATCCTACGCGGCTCGATTATTACGTTTTGGATTCCGATAAGCGGGACGTTGCGCGTTTTTTTAAACTTCCGATATCCGCGAACAACTTTTCCACCAGAATTCTCGCTGCGAACATCAATTTCTGTCGGGATTTCTGGAAATGGATTTTGTCTAAAGTTAGTACGCGAAGGCGGTCGATTTGAATTGTAGTTTTCTGATTAACGGGGAAACCACGGGAATATTTACGCATACAACGGCATAATGTTCTATTACGTTGTTTTTTTTTTTTGTTGGTGAAAAATAATCGCAGAAATCTAAAACTTTCACCGAACACATTTACTAGATTATTCTAGAGCCGGTGATATTCTGGACATTTATTAGAGCAATTTTTATCTGTTTAAAATCGTCGAGATTTTCTGGCTTTTATTTCGTTCTGTGCGGATAACATTATTTTGCTTCTCATAAACGCTCGACAATTTGATAATGACACTATAAAAATACCGAAAATACTCGGTTTAAATTTCGTTTGAAAGCGTTAAAATCACTGCATTTCGCGTATAGTACGAGCACAATTTTTCGATGCATGTATGCTGGACGAGATACTTTTTCGGCACCGTGAAAATGTTTCTCAAATCCGAGACAAAACAAATTAACACGGACAATTATTGTTGTTAAAGAGCCTCGTTACTAACATTTGTTTTATCTGCTTGCCTCGCGTGTAAATAAAGCAATAAAGGCATTCCGTATTAAAATTAAAATAACATATAAATATGGGTACTTTGATAGCAAAAAAAACCCCCATTGCTAACGGTTCTAAGCAAAGTTCGCGTGTACACGTTTTGAAATACATACTTATGAAGAAAAAACTATTACGCTCGACTATTTTTTTTTATTTTCTCACCAAGTAAAACATATCATGGACTTCACATTAAAAACGTTTATTTTTAACCGGATTACAATAAGAAAACGAAATCGAAAATAACAAAACCGTAAATGTTCTCGTTTATCCCACTTTTTCCCGCGATTTTCCCCAACAAAAAATTACACGCAATTCTCATGCATCGACCGCATACAACTTTCATTCAGAATAATGGTATTGAGCAAAATTTAGAAAACAAAAATCGAACACATCGCCGTAATCGTCGTAAATTTGTCCGCTTTTCTTTTACATGTTTTTCCCGGGTTTTCCCGATTATTATGAAAACCGCTTGGAAAATCAAAAAAAAAAAAAAAATAAATAAATAAATAAATAGAAAACGAGTTTTCTAACGCGCCGAAAAAATTCGTAATACGCGTCTAATATGTCTTGTAATTTTTCGATTGTAGCCAGATTTCTGGTAGAACAATTTTTCCCGTTCGAAATCGTTCTACGAGGTGTACACGGTTCTTTACGAAATGTTTAATGCAGCGAGGTACCTTTGCCCCTAATGCGACCGACGGGAGTGCGGTAATCGTGCAGGAAACGCCTTTGTCTTGTTAACGTCTTGTTGTTGACCCACAGATTACGACGTTATTGCAAGTGACGAGACCGGCCCCTTAATGGTTATTTTGTGTATACAATACGTCGTAACACAAATCGCAATTAGTCACAAATCAAACGGCGAATTTCGACGGATTCGGCGTTTATCGACGACGCGCGTCGATACAATGCGTTCAGAACGTGACCTTCGCTCAGAATCGGTCTTTTTCTTTTCGTTTTTTGTTTTTTTTGTTTTTTTTTTTTTAGTTTTTCTCTCGTTCGACTCGCTTTTGTGCGTTCGCTACTGTGTATACGAATCGTTCGACTCCGGGCCAGAGTCCGCGCGCACAACATATATTATTTTAATATACAATAGCGCGCTATATGTATACATATATATATATATACATATACTCTCGTAATATTTTGTATATATTATATTATATAGGTGTACCTTGTGATATTATGTCTACCCCCTCCTACTATATACACTATACACCACTACCACTACGACTACTACTATTACTATTACTACTACTACTACTACTACTACTACTACTACTACTACTGCTACTACTACTACTACTACTACTAATACTACTACTACTACTACTACAATACCGCTCTTAGGAGTACGAATGATAATTTCATAACGAATCACGCGGTCCGATAACATCGCTTTTGTATTACGTACGTATATGTGTATATACATATGTAAAACGACCGCGGTGATAACGATTGTATTGTATTGGATTGTAAACGCTATCGATAAAATAAATAGAGGAAAAAACCGGGCGCACGATCGCGGGCGCGCGCGCGCGCGCGCACCGGCGTACTATTAGAACCGCGCACCTCGGGCCAATACGCCGCCGTACTGCCGACCGTGTCCAGTATTGTTTAAAAAGAACGACTCCCGGAACACTAACGCGCAGACTCGTTAGAAATACGAGTATTTTCGGAAAAAAAAAAAAAAAACACACCGTTTTTTCCGTTCTTCTCCCCCTCTCCCCGTCGATCTTTTCGATTTCCCCGTACAGATCTTTTCGAAAATTGATCGCCGACAATTATCATCAACACCGATCGATACAACGCAATAATATTGTACGTTTTATTGTAGGTGTACCCGTCGCTCTACGACACACGCTCTCGTGAAATGCTCCGCAGTTTTCACCGTTTCCCATCGGACCGCGCGATACCGCAATCGTCCGGCACACCACGACGACGGCCGTTGCACATCAATTTCTAATCGTCAATTTTTCCGTTTCGATTTCGCCCGGTCACAGCGGACGCGCGCGACGGCAATCCCGGAAGCGAAGACGAACAGGCGAATAATAATAATAAATAAATAAAAAAAAAAAAACCCTCGACAAAAAAACCACTGCCGCCGGTTCACTGCACGAGTCGTCGCCGGAGAGCAACACGGCCGCCGTCATGCGAATCGTCGACCGCCGCCAACGGGCGCCAACAGGTAATCATCATAATGTTAATGTTATACAGTCTCGATTCTCTACACCGAACGTCAGCCAATATCTCCGACTATACGGAGAAATTGGTTAGGTTTTCGCGAGAATATTGTATTTACAGCGCTATAGAAGGGTCGGCTTTTTCACAGTTTTCTTTCGTAGTATTGTTTCCCGTAATTTCCCCTCCCCTCTTTATTTTCGTAATTTTTTCGCGCATTTTTCTCTCTCTCTCTCTGCGAAATTGACTCGTCCTCCTCTCTGGAACCGCACGTTATAAATATTAGCGAACGAAAAGAATTCGATTCGCGCGTTTGTAGATTTAACGACTGCGCGACGCGTTCGTTACGTATGTATATTATGTATAATATATCTAAGGTAGACACCGTTTGTAATGACGCCGGTTGTATCGGTTGTAATGACACCTTGATCAAAGGTCCCGGAAAAAACTCCTCTACTGTAAGTACTAATTTGTTGTATCGATTATTACGACGTCTGTATGCAATGACTGTGCGGATGTTGATATATTCAATATTATACTAATAATATCGAAAAAATAAAAAAATAAAAAAAAAGTTATAAAATTCGAGCATACAAAGGGTTGGTATGAGGGTCGAATGATTATACACCTAAAAGGAAAATCGTTGATGTGAACGCCATGTTCATATTAGGAGGTCAGTAGGAATGAAAATACATCCTCTTCCAGCAAAAACACGGTGTGTATTGTAAGTACTTATTTGTATCGATTATTATGACGTCTGTATAATGACTATACGGATGTTATGTCGGTTATTTTTGGTTATATTGGAAAATTTCGCTATCCATAACGACTGTATTTTCAAAATAATAAAACAACACTTGAGATTCTGAGCGTTTTTGAGGTCGGTTTTTGATTTGTCCAGAGGTTATTATAATAAATGGGGAAAAAACGTATGAAAAACCGAACAATTTACGAAATGTATCGTCTTCATATCGAAAATATTACAAAACGTGTACAACCGAACTCTGCTCAGAATCATTTTATCGGTTAATCGTTGCGAACAGATGCACATTAAATTACCCCTTCTCACATGCTCACCGACAACAGTTGCTCACCCATCGTGTGAAGTACGTCCGTCTGTTTATGCATTTTATTTTATCGTTCCGGTTATAATGACAATCGTTTTTACGACTAATTTAAATGAATCCCTTAAATCACATTATAAACAGTTTCGTTTTTATTTATTTATCCGTGACGTCACCGTTAACGATAACATTATTTAGCACAACGACGAATCGTGCGCAATCGTATAAAACGTAGGATGCACGAATGTATGATGTGTATTATAGGCGGAGCTAAGAAAAGTGTGATTGCTTTTTCCGAGCACCGTGCAAAAAAACAAAAACAAAAATAATACTATTTAAAATTTGTTTATTTATCCGGCGAAGGAAATATTGATTTCGGTTATCGCGGTAGTGTAGCGGAATGTAACCGCGTTGCAATATCATTCGATGAAAATCGTAAATTTAGCATACACAATATAAATAGCGGTGAAACGCCGAAAATAGAGTCGAATTTCCGTTTCGGCGTCCGCAATACATTGCGTTTCTGATATTTTTGAAAAGACAATACGTTGGTGTATTCCGAAACAACTATGATAACACGGCGGATCGCGAAAACCTAATCGTTGATATGAACGCCGCGAAAAAACACCCCCTCCGTGAAAAAACACGGCGAATTTCAGACATTGACAATTGAAATTCAACGCAACTTTTATCGCTTCAAAACGACCAGATCATTTTCGAGTTTCAGCGCGCTCGATCCACAGGGAGACGCGAAAATCGTTCAAAAATTAACGGGGAAAACGCAACAACATTAAAACGGACACGAGCGCAACATAAGAACACCATAGTTTCCGTTTCCGTAGTGTATTCGACAAAACCCCGAAGGAGTGCGCGATTCGGTACCGTACGCGCGGGAATACGTCCGGACGGGAAAACGAAAAACCGGATCGTTTATAACACGTCTTGTGGTAAACACCGATAATGCGTATTTACGTATATAATATTCGGTCGCGGTTTTTTCTTATTTTTTTTTTTTTCTCAACAAAACGAAACATTAATAACATCGCCAATCCTTTTATTCGTTCGCCGTACTACGCGTGTGGCAGTGCAACTTTGCGCGTTCCCGCAAAATCACTCTCAATCGCGTGATACAATGTAATTAAACGACATTAGCCGATTGCCGACGTGACGGCCGTTCGGCCGGGGTTAAATCACCGAATCGATTGGTATTTGTCTTGATTGCGGCGCGCCGCAGTCGGACCTGTTCGATATTCCCGTTGCGAATCCGGCGCAATATTAAAACGCACGGCGGCCGGACGACGAAATATCGCAAATTACACCGGCATGGGGTAAACGTACGACGTGTTCACGCTTTCGTTACCGTAATGACGTTGTCGGATCGGCCCGATTGTTGTGAATTCCGTTTGTGCCGAGCTGACGGGGGAGGATGGTCAAGGGGAGAGGGGGAGGGGGAAGAAGGGGAGAGAGAGAGAGAGAGAGAGAGAGCGTGCGAGGTCGGTGTAAGGGGATCCGTTCCGTCCTCGTCTCCGCCCGCGCGGCGCGTTGAAAAGCGCCAAAACACTCAAAGGACCAACGCCTGTAATCTTGTCCCGTATTGTGCTGGGCACGCGCGCGTCCAATTAAACGCGGCGAACGGTTGCGCGCGGACGTTCCGACCGAGATATTGCGCCGACGCGCGTCACTCGTTCTCGGTCCCCGGGGGGGGGAGGGGGGAGTTTGGGGGCGCCGCGAAGGGAGCCCACTCGTACGGTTCCGTTTAACGCGATTTCGTTATGTTTTTTTCTCGTTCTTATCCGGGGGTAAGGGCCCCCTCCCCCCTCCCCCCCGGAGGTTCGTCCGGATCGCTTCGTAACGGGCGTGCGCGGTGTATCGGTTCGCGTATTCTCGAAACGCCCGCGCGTCACGCACAAACCTATTCCCGGAAAACCGCTTCTTTGGCCCCCGGGGGTGGAGGGGGAGTGGGGCCGGGGCCAGAGACGCGTATTGATATTGACGTTGTTCCTACCGGCCGTCGACTGCCACGGTTGCGGAATGTGCCGGGCGCGTTTTATTACACGACCGTTGCGACATCATCACACACCGTCATCAATGCGACGCGCGGCGACGGATCCGTGCGGTACATAACGGGTATGGCCGTGACGGTGTTGCGTGCGGTCGATTGAAAATTTAAACGATTGCGTCAAACGCCCGGGATAACTGAAAACGTGTTGTACGTGGAAAAAAAACAAAAAAACAAAACAAAACGCATTCGAGAATTAAATATCGCCGTCGGTTCGCGGCGGCACCGCGGAGTTTCGTACGGTGTAATTTCGCTCGCGGATCGCCGCGCCTTTAATGCGTTACGCGTATACAATTTGACGGTATGAAAACGCACACAATCCGCGCGTCGTTCGGCGGCGCGCCCGCGAAATTCCGTTTGCGGGGATTTTGTTTCGTTTTTTTTTTTCAAAACCGTCACGTTTAGTGTCGTCACGCGACGAACTACACGGGCATACGTGTAACACACGTGTCGTCCCGGTCACTACCGCACGCTATTTGTTTCCGGACGTTTTACACAAAAACCACAAACGTACGAACCGGAACCGTCCGTTTCGCGTCCCGCACAATAGAATTACATTGTGCATGTTAGGTTCTAGTTTTTCTGCGAACTTATAACACAACTACACATCCAATAGCCCTGGATATCGATTGTTTCGATATTTATGAAACCGTTGTAGTCAATCAATCTAACGTGCGACGTTAATATGATAACACGGTACGGGGGTACCTATATTCGCAGTGATGCCAGGAATACGCTATGAGAATGTTAAACATCCCGTCACCGCTAGAACGCGGTAAGTGTATATAATAAATGCGAATCCCGAAAATAACGACACAAAATTAATTTAAATCCGATTTGTTCACGCTTGTTTATAATCATGATTATAACAATACATTATTATTATTATTATTTTTTTTTTTTTAGAAAGTTGTGTGACAATTTACCCTTTCGACCCTAGCAAATTTCAGATTTCTGTAAAAATTTCAAGCCCCCAAGGAAATTTCTAACTGAATAATGTTAAAAAAATAACAATAATAATATTAATAATTTTCGTAAATTTGTCCGTTTTACGTATTTTCGGTTTTGCTCGATTATTAAAAAAAAAAAAAAAAAAATACAAAGAAAATCAAAAAATAACTAGTCACCAATTATATTAAAAATTCAATAGAAAATGTTTTTATATTGGAGCAATATTTTTATTTTTAAAAAAACATAAAGCCGTAAAAGTTTAAAATAATGAAATCGTCACGCCATAATTTGATAAAAAAAAACCGTATTTTCCGTCCTTTTTGGTATTTACCAATTATTATGAAAGATGCTTTAAGTATCGAAATATGAATTTCTCTGCCAATGACAGTATCAAAAGGAACAACAAAATCGATCTATTGTTATTTTTCGATCTGTGCAATATTTCTAGTTGAAAAGTTATTTACTGACATACAAAAAAAAGCACACACCATAGTTAAACATCCCTCCGATTCTTCCGATGTATACACTCCTCGCTCCACTCAAAACATGTACAAAAACAAAATTGTATTTATAATAATAATGATTTAGTATGCAATTTAATATTTTAACGAGATCAACGGGATTGTTTGGTTTCGATACATTCACTCACTACTCGCTGAGAGTATATTTCGTGGTACTTAATTTTAATGAACGTTTATGACAAAAAAAACCTTCTCCGCCGATACAGCTGTGCTCGTGAAACGAGTGGTGGTCGAACATTGAATACTTTATAATACGAAAGCTCATAATGTTCTCTATTCGCCAGAAGGCGATGCGGGATTTTTTTTTAAACGCTGCTTCAAACGAAAAACGCGGATAACGGATACGTCAAATTTCACTTTTTCCGCCATTACCCAATAGGATGTAGGGTAATTTAGTTTGTGTACCATTAAACCAACGGTAAACTATTGCAATCAAAAAACGATTGTGCGCGGATATAAAACAGGCGTGACGATCGATTGGTGTTATAAATTATAATATAGTACGCAATAGATTAAGGAGGTCGGAACGCACCTATTTTTCGTACGTTTCAAACCAATAAGCGGCGGGAAATTAGACACACTTCCCAATGTTCGATTAAAATTTTTTAAATACGCATGCATTTCTAGAAAAATTATCCGTGTTATTCAGAAAGTCGATTTTCGATTTTCAGTTTCGAAGTTTCGTCCAAAATTCAGATATTATTTTTGAAAATCCCGTGATAATAATCACATTATATTTTATTTATTTTTAGACACGCCAAATTTTAAATCGAACTTCGTAAATAATACCTAGACAGTAAATGCACGTATACTTTAAACGTTGAAAACGGAAATTCGGGAGTATATTATATGCTCCCATTGTTTCCCATCGTTTACGTTGGTCTAAAACGAAAAAGATCGACGGAAACGTCTTAGTCTTTAAAACGGTGACAATAATGTTCTGAATTGAACACGATTGGAGACAAATCGGAAAACCGCCCCCTTGATCCTTAATCGCGATAAAAAAAAAAAAAAAAAAAAAACCGTACCTACATAGCGCTTGTAGAACGATAAAGTAAAACGTTTCTGAAAAGTAATAGTTTCTTAAGTAGTCCGGTTGGATTGACCTGCAAAAAAAAAAAAAAATAACGCGTTCGAATATATTACAGTGAAAACCGTTTTCCACAAGGTATATTATTTATTGTTGCGTACGCTGCTCTGGGAGTATTAAAAAATAAAAAAAAAATAAAAAAAAACGTATTCCTTGTAACAATAAAATAATAATATAATAATTAGTTACGAGGAACGTCTGCATCACAAGATAAATATTTAATATATAATAATACGGTGTACTGCGCGTATGCTATAAGCTTTCGGCCTTAAGGAATTTCGTTATTAACATCGTTTACTGCAGATCTATCGGGTTATTATTATTATTAGTTTTTTTTTTTTTTATCAGTTCTTATCTGGAATATTGTTATATTTTTTCGAATCCGTGAGTGGAATATACTGCAGCACGGTTGTGTAGTTTGTTTATCACATATTATAAACCCGTGAACTCGACGTGCCCTCTGTTGTCATCGTTTACTGCAGATCTATCGGGTTATTATTATTATTAGTTTTTTTTTTTTTTTTTAACAATGTGCTCTACACGTATATTATATTTCCAAACCATCGCGTTTATACATTCCATTAGGTATTGTAAATCTACATAATAATCGAAACGAGTCTTTGGCTTTTCTTTTGACCGCGACTGCGAGTACACGCAGTACAGTATAATGTATACGTACAGCCATATAGGTAATCGTATGAATAATAATTTGTCCGCGTCGATAAATATAATAAAATAACCGAATCGTTATATTTCGTATACTAACCGAAAAGAGGAAACGCACAGCCGGCGGTTAAAGCAGGGAAAACTTTCCAAACAGTCACCGAAAATTAAGTGACGTTACCGAGAACTATAACTCGAACCAATCGAAACTTCAGGACAACCGTCATACCCAGACGAGACTTTCAAAATGTCTTTCCCCTCGTACACAGAGTACCTTGCACATATGCCTGTGCTCGATAAAAATAAAACGAAACAGAGTACGATTATTATATTACACGATCAAGTCCTGATCGGTTATTATTGTAACAGAACCGATTCGAGTTTTTATAGTTCCATTAAAAATACTTTAGTGATGGCAATGACTATAAAGGATGAGCATACGCGAAATAAGAAGAGCTACACAGGCTGAACCGCCGGGTCTAGAACTATGCAATTTCGCACAAAAGTCCCTTGTGTGCTGATGCAGGCGACTGTTAAAAAGGATTTTTCAAAATCCAATCCCGTCGAATGGCTGTGGCCGACAACAGGGCGTTTGGTATTTTTGCAACGAAAACCGCAAGAAAATATATTATTATCGTATACACGTCATTAGCATTTGCACAGGATTCGAATCGGTTTATTAACGATATTATCCATATTTTCTATTGTTCCCGAATTGCGGATTTTATTTATTATTTTTTTTAAGGGAATTTCGTGGATTCCCGATGAAACCCGACGTCACACGCGGTGAAATTTGTCACGGTCGGTTATGTACATTCGTGGCCATCGTTCGCGTAGTATCATTATAATAACACCCGTTATTACAGGGACCCGTGTCTGTTTGACGAAACAAAGTATCGAAATCGCACCGGTTCGAAGTAATTTATAAATCGTTATAATATTTTTTTTTTAACGTGATCGGAAAATAAACCACCACGCATACGCTTTTACCGTTCGGGGGGTCACCTGAACAATAACATCGAAAACTCGAAATATTAACGCGCAAATTTTGTTTTTTTTTTGATATCGCGTGCGATTTTCATTAAAGAGGCATAACAATAACTGAACGTTTTGTATGGGGAAAAAAAAAATGGAAAAATAAATCGGGACAAAACTACAGACGTAATACGTAAAATATGAACGTTAATGTGCGGGGTACCTACGCTATTATTATTAATTATTCGCACCGCCCGGGGAATATGTAATTGCGTATTATTCGCGCGCCGTGTATACATTAATGTATTGGTACACACACAATGATGTGATAAGAGAGTGTTTGATTTGTCGGTCTGAACGCGAATATCGAATATTGTCCGACGGTATTAATAGGTACTAATAACGCAATAATCGTGCAGCATTATTTGTTTACAAGCGATTACCGACAGTGGTTTTTAACAGACGGACGTAACGAGTAAGTACAATATTGTTACGTTATAATAATAACAATAAATAATACGATAACGTCGAAATATTTTAATTACTTTTTCGGTCTATCAGCTATCGACGTACACATTATATTACAATTTACACCGCAGAATCATTAAAACTGTATATATGTACATATATACATAATTTTTTTTATTTGTTTTCCATTTTTTATTTGTTTTATTCGAACGAGAGTTGTCGATAACTTACAACGCAAGAAAACCGTATACGTGATTCCAATAATACGATTATCATATGTATGTATGTATGTATGTATATAGTTGCACACGTATACTGTAGGGCATTATGATATTAATTAGAGATAAAAAAAAAAAAAAAAAAACTAAATTTAAAATACAGACTTCGTACCCGCAATACACGATATTACTACATCCGTACGTTATTATTCGGCCGTTTTGAGTGGTTTCGAATTTGATCGTTGTAAAAAAATAAAAATATTATTACAAATCGTAGCACTCGGAAAAACGAATGCGCCGCGACAAGCCGCAAGGGGACAAGATAACGGCGGGGGGGGGCAGGGAGTGGGGGAGAGACGGCGAATTTTAGAAAATGCATATGAAGCACGCGATTGTACGATGAATCGCGCGGAGAGCATGGCGGACTTAAGAGTAAGTATATTGGGGGGGAGCGGACGGAGGGGGAAAACGATTTCCGTGTCGCCGCTCGCCCTTATTGTACCCGTACCACTGCCGATGAGCGGAATCGTGAAATTCCAATTTGAACGCTTCGACACGCGCCCGGTCGTTACCGTTTCGATTTTCCAAGATTTTCGGGAAATTGAAAAAGTCGACAAATCGACTGTCTAAAGTATATTATGCTACGGGTATCTGCCTGTACATTTCGTATAAATAAATATGTTCGAGTGGTGTTTACCGTCCGACGTGCGACGTGCAGTTTTCCGTGGAGAATATTATTGTATATGCCGTATTTTAGCTTCCTCGCGTAATTCTGTTCAAAATCCCCTCCCCCCAGAAAAAAAAAAAATGATATTTTTATATCAAATGCCTACACGTACCGACATTGATTATTATTATTTTCGTTTATCTAAAAGTTTGAAAAAAAAAACTCCTAATTTCTATAAAAATTACAGAGCGATACACTCATCAGTTTTTTTCTCGGAAGATTTCAATTGAATTGTATTTTAATAATTATGGAATCGTCTAAGCTTTATCCAACGATATTTTCAATTTGCATCCCTTACATCCGAAATTATAGTATACACATTGAATTTCTCAAAAGCAACCCCCCACCCCCTATTTGGAATGCGAATTTTTGTCGACAAATTTCAATATAGGCGCAACACTAATATCGCATTGACCGTTTATCAGTTATAAAAGTTTAAAGTTTAGACCGGAAGACTATATTATAGGGACAAAATAGTAAATCCGACGCGAGTGTTGCGGCTATTTGAATATGTGTTATATGAGGAGAGCGATGCTCTTTGAGAAACTAAAGTGTACAAAGGTAGGTGGGAAAAATTAAAAATATTAGTAAAATAAAGCTTAATATTATTTCACAAAAAAAAGAACCGGAAATCAAATTCACTTAAAATTCTTCGAGAAAATCGCTGGTTCGTGATAAATCGATAAACTAAATCGTTTTTCAGTAAACGTATACACTACACAATCATTTAAACAAAATTAATTTCGGCCCTCGGGACAATAATCTCGTTCCATTCTCTACCATTATTCATCTCAGTTCTTGTTCTTAAAACATTTTAATGCAATAATGGTTTAGGTATGTACACGATCGTTTAGTGAATATTAACTAAATGCGTAATTTATGAATTAAATTGTATTGTGTGTATGGTCGCTGTTTATACCATTAATAATTCAAATATGGAAAATTTGTGGCTTGGGCCGTTATTGAACTGAAAGCCCAAATTGGCTGAATTATATTTAAAAAAAAAAAAATCGTTTAAAATTCCCTCGTCGGCATGATAATAATTATTGTTTTAACAACGGACCGCAGAACCCAAGAGGCTGAACAAAATAAAATAATAATAATGTTGAATTTACATTTAAATTACTTTTTAGAGAAAACAAACGAATTCAACGCGCACCCGGTTCAACAAAATATTAATTAATAAAATATTTTGTTTGTCCTCATTGTAAATTTATCGCTCTGTTCAAAAATAAAACAAAAAAAAAAAAAAAAAACATTGAAAAATAAGTATGGATGTGATGAGAATTGCGGATAAGGGTTCTTTGTTTAGTAATTTGTTGCGGTACGTCATAGTGTGGAATTTTAAAATTTATTTTTTAATAATTTTAAATCATGTCTGTCTAGTAACAATTGTTTGTGTACTAGACATCCGGTTTTCGCGTGGTGTACCTAGCTTCTTTTCCGCTAAAAAATTTCGTCTGCGTCGTCGGGGAGGTAATTTTTTAAATTTATTTTTCTATTTAATATTTTCTATTTTTATAATAGTTTTCGGTTTTGTTAATTTTCTTTGTAGTACGCGGTTGAAAAAAAATCGCTCAGAATCGTTTTACTGTAGCCGACGGTTTATTGTCGCGCACAAATATAAATAATTTGATAACATCAAATTGACACAATCCGTATCTCTTTTATATTCGGAGGTAATTTTTTTTTTTTTTATCGAACGTAAATAATTAATTATTAACGTTGCCCAGAACGCGATAATTGCGTCGGATTGCGTCAGCGACCTAACGCTACAGAATATGATATTTTCAAAAGATTTACGATGACGCAGTAACACCTTTTATGAATCATATCGATTTATGGGTATTTTAAGGTATACCTGCGTATGTGTGTAAAAGAGTAAAAGAGATTTAAATTCAAATTAAAACCCATCACAACAACAATAATATGAGCGGGAACGCGCGCGTATTCCTCCCGATTGTTTCAAATACCATTTCGGGTCGGTACGTTTGTACCGCCGGTACCTACCCGCGGAGTACGACTAATGGAAAAAAAAAAAAAAAAAATCCCCCCGAAGTAGTTTTCAAAATGTTTTTATTGTTACACCGACGGCGGCGACGGCGTACAATAATAACATTGTTATTGTTGCGTTCGAATAAATTATAAATAAGTGTGTGTATATTTTATTATCATTTTGTCAGAATCGTTTTTCATTATTATTATAATTTTTTTTTTCTACTTCATTTTTCTTATTCCAAGATGTCGATTTACACTTCTCGGTTATTATAATAATATAAAGACGATTAAAATCGTTATGTTTTTTTTTTCCTTTTCGTATAATACATCACTATCTTTAATACTATTATACAAATATTAATGTAAACGAACGTTACTAAAATATTTTAATTAGTTAACGGAGTACGACTAATGGAAAAAAAAAAAAAAAAAAAATATATATATGTATATATACGATTACGTTATTTTATCACTTTTCGTAAATATTGATAACAGTGTAAGTGTTGCTATAATGGTTTCTCGGATAAATCGATCAACGAGTACGTATAAAATACAATATCGCGTAAAAAACAACATTTCATATGAAAAGGTTGCTCATCGGGTAGGACAGTGTCGTCGATGGACAGCTGGGATGGTAGGGCCATAAAATACATACATTTACGGACGAGCCGTTGGAGCTGATCATTCCGGGAGAACAGTGCCGTACCCGGGATATTTTTCAATGGCCGATCAAATACACACGATGATGCATTGTAATTTATTGCAGCACCACGTTACGTATTAAATCGTATGTAAAACGACAGTTTAAGATTTGTCGATGTCTCGGGGCGGGCTGCAGCGTTGCCTCGCCTCCCTGGACGTGCCGCTACGGGAGGGATAAAAACAATAATCTATAACGGTCTTTCTCTATGCGTATGCACCGATAAATCACTGTAAACACGGAACCGCGGCTCTGAACGGAGTGCGGGATTTTTTCGATTGTAACGCGATGTGTAACCGGCGGCCGTCACAGACAGGACAACACAACGCATACATTATTATTATACTCAAAGGTCTCCGCGCGGGAACACTAATTTTTAACGTGTGCGTTTCATTAGCGCCCGTTCGAACAGTTGCCTACTCGAAACGATTCGAGAATTCAAAATCGCTTCTTTCGCCCGTGTAATTTAAATTTTTCATCATTTCTGGCTCGCCGGACCGGCCGCCGGGTATACGGCGAGAAATTACTTTTCAACGCGCGTTAAATGCGCAATTTTATTGTACACGCACGTGTATGAAAACTGCAGTAGTTCGGTTAGCTCGCGGTATAAATACCGTAAATACTATTATTATAGTTTCGCAAAGTAATTTCCCGCATATTGGTTTATAGGTTTGTGCGGTAGCTCGCATTTGCTGCAGAATTTCAAAATCTGTTAGGGGTCCCCGTGGCTGGGCGGTTTTTTGGCTTCAAAAATTCCTTAAGGGAGAAAAACCGCGTGGCTCGTTGAGTGATCCGATTCCGATTGTTATTTGTTCGTCGAAAGCATTAAATAGTTTAAAAGGGTAATTTTTGCGTTTACACTGTCAAGTGTGCAATTTTAAGAATTATAGTATTTCCGTAAAAGGATTAAGTAAAAAAACTCGTATGTGACGGCGTTCCACATCGTAATAATATTGAACAACCGTGGTAAAATAATTTTATTGATAATCAATGTTCTAATGAATGTTCAGGACTTATAATTGGCTTGAAAATTATACGCCCTGTTACAACGATTTTGAGTATGAAATTAGTTCACACTTATTTTTGATTATTTCGATTGCGAAACAAATAAAATTCTCTATTACTTTGTGATTACTGTACCTGAACGGGATATAGACATGAAACATTCACACCAAACATCACTGGGTTTTACAATAACTTTTTTTGACACATTAGATTAGACGCCCGAGTATTTTATTCTTTCTGAATTTGATACCGTTCCAATAAACCGTTCGTTTGTTCTTTATTCTCCTAATAAGACTTCCTCGTTTTTCGTTATACTGCGTTTTGCGCGGATAGCATAACGACGTTTCAAAAATCGCTACTGTCTTCTCCTCTCTTTGCTGCAGTAAACCTGCAGTTCGATCAATAGTTTATTTTTTTTTATACATCATTTTACCATGGTTTTTTAAGTTCTACAGTCTGTCAGCGTAAATCACATTTAATGATTGAAATTGGACCTTCCCCCGTTTTACTATCCAGTCGTTTCTACACAATGTGCATAAAACGAATATAAAATCAAAATAACGATTGATTTTTCTATTAAAAACAATTGTATATTCGATTCTCATCATAACGAATAAAAGTTAATTGTTTTGATTTTTCGATTAGTTAAAAACTTCTCTAATTCTTTTCATACCTTGTAAGATGCGAATTTTTAACCTGTTGGTATTTTATATATATATAAAAAAAAAAAAAAAAAAAAAAACGAAATTTTCCCACAATTGATAATAACAAACTATGGTACATCGATTTTTTTTTTTGTTGATTTCTGTGTCTCACAAGTTTACCAAGTTCCGATTAGAATGGTTTTTTTGTGAATGATCGTTATTTTTAATTAAGGTTCAGTGTATAAACTAAATTACCTTATATATACATGTATATATATAATGCACACTTTATTAGCTTCTCACCCTCATTCGAAGATTTCAAATTTTATTTATGCCAATATTGAAATATTTGTATGCTTTCATTTAATTTATACGTTGTATCAGAAAATCATGGGCGAAGGGGGGAGGGTTAGGTGAAATGTGAGAATCTGTAAAACGTAAAAGTTCAAAAATTTTAATTTAAACCCCAGTGGGAGGGAGCTGCAGAAACTTCTTTCCAGCCTCCCCCGTAAACCATTTTGTTGTTTTGATAGACGCCTTAACTAAAAGCATCCAAATTGTAATGATAGACAAACAAATGTGTGATAAGTACCTGCTCAACATTGGCATTAAAAAAATATTTACATTTTCAAATGGGGAGGGGGGGACTGGTGAAATGTACGTCTATATATACCCTCTAAGCTTCCCGCTTGGCACGGAATATAATGTCCGCGGGGCTTTACGTAATATCGTGCATTTCTTTTTTATACTCGGACCATTTTATAATATAAAAAGACGGACATAATTCGCACGTAGGATGTGCCACCGTTGTAGGTGATAAGTTTGAAAGGATAATATAGAGGCGAATTTATTGCATATCTGTACGCAACGTATAATTTTTGCTAATGAAAAACGATTCTGAGCGGAGTCTGGTTACACATGTTTAAAAGGCCGTGATATTTAAGATTTTCGTTAAAATTTGATACTAAAATTCTTACATATAAATAAAAAAAAAAAAATTAAATTAAACTCAACTTTTTCTTGTTGACCACTAAGTACAACGTATAACGAACCTCTTGTTGAATTGTCAAGCATTTCTGTTCGATCTAACAATTTTATGCACAGAATATCTACCAAATATATATTACGTTAAAAATCTACCAAAATTAAAATATCTCATGGCTTAAAAATAGCTCAAATGTTTTGAAAATTGTCTTCGTCTATAAATGGAAAATATAAAGTACCTGTAAAAATTTCAAGTTTCTACGAATATTTTTCACTGAGCTACAATAAAAAACAAAATTTTAAATAATAAAAAACATTATTTTTGTACGTTTTCCTGTTTCCCGTCGGTTTTTTCCCCCGTTTGTCAGAAAAACTCCTGGGAAAATCAAAAAATGATATTTCGGAGCGAGATTTCTAGTAGAACACAATAGCGCACAGTGTAAACAAATCATAAACATCGCGGTGAAACCAATAAATTCTGCGCTACGCCATTCAGAGTCTAAAAACGATTGTAGTGTTATATTATTGTAGTCGGTACACAATATGATATTTTATTTATTTATCGGTACCGTTTAAAAGAAAATAAAAATGAAATATACCGAAATTGCTTTTCTTTCCGCGTCGTCTGTACAATGTCTTCAAAGCCGTACGGCCGTATTAAATGTTTCGATATCGCGATGTTCGAACCGAATTATCGAACGTTAAAAAGTTTCCGGTCAAATACAATATAATATGCGAAATGTAAACACACGGCGATGTCATCGGGGCCCGATGCGGTTTGAACTTTTAACGATTCGTCGTGCATTTCCAAGAAATATACATTGTATTGTAATGTACGTAATGACAATTAAAAAAAAAAAAAACAAAGAACCTAAAGCGCGCGGAATGTCAAATATTACACAGCGAACGTCATTATAGCTCGGTACATACGGCGAATCATACGAGGGAAACGTAAATATGCTATATTTGTTTAACACAGATTTACTATCCCGTTAGATCGCAGTAACGAGCGGCAATTATTATTTGTATTGTTTTCTGTGCGCGTAGTATATTGATGTATTTGTGTTTCAGTTAATAAAAGCGAAGCGTGGCCGAAAACGGGCACGCGGGGGCATCCGGATGGAATGTTATTGACAGAACAACGCGACGGAATATAATAATATTAAATCGTTCAGAGTTCGATATACTGAGTATATATAATGGCAGCGATTTAAGCGGACAATTTAAAATCGAACAAATATTAAGCACACGAAAACGCAATAACAAAGTTGCGCACAAAATTACCAAATTGTTTCTAAACGATTTCGTTTCCGTGCGGTTCTCGTTATGATTACTAATAAAACTACTGCGTCACGACAGTTTTATTAATTATTTTTTTTTTTTTTTACATTAAATCATATAAAAACTAATATAAAACTTGAACATTTCAAATGGCTATAAATATATAGCTCGAAAATCGCCATAATGTTTTGAAAGTTGTATCGCATCCAAAAAATTAAAAAAAAAAAAAATGTATTTGGGAAAAATGTCAGGGTTCTACGATTATTTCTAATCGAATCGCAATAAAAAAAAAAAAACCAAAATTAAGTCGAAGAAAATAGAAACCGTTATTGAATAATGTTTTCGTTCTTCATACGTTTTTGTTTTTTCAGTTTTTTCAAATATTGAGAATAATACACGGAAAATCAAATAAAAAACCTCACCGATGCACGCCGGTACAGCTGTAGACAAAATTTAGTACCGGAACTAATCGAAAATCTTGATGATCGGAGCAAGATTTCCGACAAGAAAAGTCGTTTGTAGACAGTGTACAAAACAAACAAAAATTGTTTGGCTTATCGTTCGAGATTATAAAATTCGGTTAACGGACGCGGAAAAACAAACATTTGATATGATGTACAAGTCAGAAAATATTAATAATTTAATATTTGAAGAACATTCAACGGAGTTTTAATGTCTGCGATTTTTCCATACAATAATAATTGTATCGTTTATTGAGTCGCGAACATTTTCATCTACAGTAAACTAAATTATCGATTTTGAATTCGGCGGCGGCGGCGGCGGTCAGAGAACTGAAATACAATTATTTAACTTTGTTTTTACAAAACTTTTATTATGTTATTGACAAATTTGAAAAAAAAAAAAAAAAGAAAGTTTTGATAAACGTTTAGGGTTGTTAAATTCGTTTACATCGGGTACCTATCGGCATATCTATAAGAAAAAAAAGGTACGAAAAATAATCGTTCGTGTTATTTCAATGAATGAACGAAATTCCAATACGTTCCCCATACACGAATCCCCGAAAAGCGGACGAAATCGACGGGACGGGTTGTCCCTAAAACAACGCCTTATATTTGGCAACAACCCGCGCTATAATGATTCCGTTATGTTAAAACAATCGGATCCGTGTTAAATCCGAACGCGGCCAAATCTTTGCAATTACCGTGTTCGCGCGACCGTTCCGGCGCAGAGGTTTCGGTGTTTTTTAAGAAATTAATTATAATATTTTAGGTAATGTATCCCCGTAAGAATAATGCCGTTCGTATGGGCGAATATTAATTAATTAGTTACGAGATTAACCGGTAAATTACAATTGAGACGAAACAGAATACCGCCGGCATAGACACCAATAAATTATTATTAAAGTCATCGTAATAATTACGTCGTGTCCCGCGAAAATAATTTATTTAACCGCGCCGCAATGGAAGCATCCAGACGTTTGTGGTGGTGGAGGGGGGGATACAATATCAATATTTTACACCCGCCTACATTTATTACTTATATAATACGCCGCGTAATGAAGGTTTATTTTCATTTTTTTTTTTTTTGAATATTAAACCCTAATAATAAATAGTTGGCCTAGGATAATGGGCACGGGTGTAGCCATTGTTGTTGGCGAGAAGTTGGAAAGGTAGGATGTAGAGGGGAAATCGATTTGTATCTGTCGCTTACTAAAAACAATTCTGAGCGGAGTTCAGCTGATAGTGATGCTTTGTCAACAATATAATATTTTTTATACTGTGGTAAAATAATTAAATATGCGTATATATAATTTCTTTAGTAATATCCGTTTAATATTGTACCGATTTTACCGTTTTATCTACGTGTTTCCCGGTTTTTCATATTTGCTAGAAAAACTCTTGGGGGAATCGAAAAATTACTGGTAAAAAAGTTGTCCGCAGAAAAAATTAATCATAATATTTGACTAGTATATTTCGTACATTTTCCCGTTTTTCCTCAGTTTTTTTTACGGTTTTTCACATTTGATGAATGTTACCATAAACCATTCCAAGAAAATTTTCAGAAAAGGGTCTATATCGTATATACCGGAATGAGCTTTTAGGTAGAAAAAGTGAAAAAAAATAAACATCTTTGTAAAACTAGTCTAACCTAACCTAACTTAACCGAACCTTCGCTCCACTCAGAATCTAGAAACAGAAAAAAAAAAGGAATAGTTTTGAAATTCGTTATTAATTCCGAAGATAAAATGTATGCAGTAACGCAATTAACGAATTATTATTACCTGTAACACGCGAACGCATCATCGCATACGACGGCAATTCATTAAAAACACCGTTGGAAAACCGTCAAAACACCAACGTTACATCTAAGAAACATGTATTATACAAAATTGTTAATTAAACGAAACTATAATTAATTTTCAACAATGCGAGCGCACGTTCCGACGCAGAGTAATATCAACTCGCCTGCATTAACCGCGATACGGATTCAATTAAAACCGTTTTTGACATAACGTTACACGATGATGATAATAATAACAATATTATAAATTCGGAAAGCGCGCTGTAAAGTTGCGGCCATAATGTGTTTAGCACCGTCTAGTTTTTATTTTTTTTTTACCGTTTAAAAGTATATTTTAAAAATACCTTATGGGAACCGCGAAATCCTCGGGGGCGGCTCCGGGTGGCCCTAGGAGTCGTCACCCCAACAAGCCCGCGCATTTGTTATGAATGTACTTAATAAAAACAAAAAAAAAAAAAAACGTATTATACAATAGTATAATACGTTTTTTACAGGCACATGCATAAGTGTGTATAGTTGGAGGTTTCTACGCTATCTATACCAGTGGTTTTCATACCTGTGCGTCGCGGCTCCCAGGGCCGTAGTGGTTTATTATCAAGGAAGCCGCGTCTGTATAGTAAATATAGTACAGGAACACAGTAACTTTGTTTATTCCAATTTTTATTATTATCATTACTCGTAAGAGAGCCGCTAATTTGTTTTTCAAAATCCAGAGAGCCACGTTAACACTTCGTTCTACTACCTCGTCTGTGAAAAATAAATACATTTTTTAATTTTTTTAGTTTCGGAGCTTAGTGAGAAGTGTATTTTGTTTTGCAATGATGTTTATTTTTATTTTTAATCGGTGAGCAACTTTTCTGCCAGAAATTTTGCTCCGATGTATCAAGTATAGAACTTTTTCCGAAATGAAATTTTATCTACTTGGTACTTTAAGAAGGTTATTTTTTTTATCTTCTTAGCGTTTTTCATAATGAATGGGAAAAACCATGAAAATGTACGTACGTATATAAAAGCAACTTCGCTCGGAATCGTTTTCCGTATAGCAATAGTTTATCGTTTCGTACGGATATAAATTATGTTACACTATCTTAATTTCCCAACTTTTAACCTATGACAGTGACACAACCATTGTGCAAAGTACGTTCGTTTTTTTTGCGCTTGTAAACAACTTTTCTTTTTAACAAAAATCGTGTAAATATTTTTATACGTAGAAACTTTCTGAGAGCTGTTTTGATTTAGTTAGCGAATTTGGCATACATTTTCTAGTTTTCTTAATAGTTTGGAAAAAAAAATTGGCAATTTTTGCCTTGGCAATAAGGGAATAATATGACTAAGTAACAATACTCTGCTCAGAATCGTTTAAAACAAAAATGGTGGTACAATCGTCAGGAGTATCAGCATTTTTGTTTTCTTTTGTTAAGAAATAAGAGGACTACGTTGTGCATATTTATTTGTTGTGTTTATCGGACTATGCACTAAATAACGAACTTGCATTCAACAGATCTTAATTTGTACTTTTAATTTTAATATTATAGTGAATTTACCTACTATCAAACGTCAAAGTATGAACAAAATCTGTACGTTGTTTTTTTTCTGATTTTTATGTATTTAAGCGAGTTACGAATATTTTAGATTCTGAGCGGAGCGAGAAACTTATTGGTTTTACAATGATTTTTTTTTTTTTTTTAAACAAGTTTTAAACCAGAAATTTTGCTCCGATTTTCAAATGTAGCACTTTTTCTGAATAGAAATTAGACTGGTGTGGTCAATTATTATATTTTCTCACGGATTTTCAGAACAAATGGGAAAAACCGCGAAAAAAACTTAGGAAAAACGGGAAAATGTACGAAATGTATTATTTTCAAATCGTAAATATTACGGTCTTTCAATCTTAGGCTTAGAATCTTTTTTTATTAGAAATGGTTAATCCTTGCGCACAGATATACATTACATTTCCCCTCTACCTTACCAACTTCTCACCTAAAACAGTGGCCTACACACAATACGAAGAATATCCGTTTTTTTACAATTCGTTGGCGCACAGATTTTCCTAACCACTTTTACAGACTTAGGAGTGTCAGTGAATATTTTTAATTCACCGGTTAAAAATCCATTTTTGTGTTAAAAAATATTTACAGTTAATAATAATACGGTAAAAACGAGGAAAAGCGGTCATTTGAACTTGTCATCTATTTTAATTACTTCAAAGGTTTACTTTGGAAGCGGCTCATGAATTCTTCACGTAAGCTTAAACATATACCTATTTAATTATTTATATTATTTCTTTTCGACAACAGTTATATTAACATTATTTTTTAATTTTAAGTTCAGTTTTAACCATATAATGGTTAACACATTTTTTATTTTTCTCACGTTTTTATACAATGATCTCACACACATTACTATTTCGCTTGAAAATTGAAATAATGAAAAAAACAATTGTATACAAACACAGATAGTGTTATTTTTCCCATAACTTTGTATTAAGACGATATTATTCACTCTAATATTGAAAATTGGTTCTGCCGAACGCAGACTTGCGCTACGTTTCTAAGGCGGAGACAAGAAATGCACGATTAATTTATATATACGAGTAGTTAAATTTAAAAAAAATAAATATTATTATAACGGATTGAATACATCGTACAATATTATTGTTATTATTATTATTATTATTACTACAGGTATCGCACCATTGGTTTGTTTTTTTCAAACTTTTTTTCCGGACAATAATGTATAATACTGTTACGAGGTCAAAAATCATGATTCCGCGGAGACACCCGAGTATGTGCTATTTGTGTGCATAATATACCTATTATATAACGGAAACCTAACCATTAATCATAATTTATTTAAAAAAAAAAAAAAAATCTACACTCGCTGTCATACGCGTAAAACTATATCATTAGATACCGAACCGAAGTGGGTGTTTTATTTATTAAATGGTTTATATTTTAGTTATTGAAAAATCGCGTGTGCATCAAGGACGATAATGACGTGATATATTATTACTATCGGGCACGAGTATTGCGTACAGGGTGATTATTTTTTACCGCGATTCGTTCTCGTGTCCGGTCAAAAATTCTAAACCGAACATATCCCGGCGTAAACGGTAAATCCAATATTATTACGACATTGTTGGATAAATATTAAATTTTGAGGATCCGCGTTAAACGTGATGGGGCACGGAACTGCCGCGATTTGAAAATTAAAACTAGAAACATTAATTTAAGGTGTAATAAGGGTAGGGGTGATAATTCGAAAACAGTATTTAGATTAAGTTTATTGTAAACAATTTTATTTCATAAAGATTTAAAAAAAAAAACCAGAAATAGAAATAAAATTTACTTGAAATCCTCCGAGAAAATCGCTGGATTGTGATAATAAATAATCACCCTGTACATCGTTGCATTAGCATTGATTACAACAGAATAGTGGACGATAATATTGTATCCAATGATATTAGCTTCTATTCATTCATCAAACATTTACGACGATAATTTTCCACTTAGCAGTCTATAGTATGCAGTTTGCCGTGTACGCACTAATGACTCGTGTAGTCGTGTCCTACGCGCATTTTTAACAATACAATTAATGATATCTGTGTCATATTTAATTAAGGTGGGTATCGCTCGAATCGTACACTATAAACAAATTATTTGTGAAAATCGAGACAGTTTTTCAATTGTAAAGCAAATAAATTTACCTGTAAATGTAGATGAGAAAAAATACGTTGTAAATGGTTTATTCAAATATACCACACAAACTTGGTACTGACAAATCTATAGGATGAGGCCGGGCAATCAATGGCGCGCGCAGACATTTTCAATAGTGAAGGGCGTAGCGAACATAAACCGTATAAACAGATCGCGCAGTCTTCTTCTTCGCCTAATGCGACAACCGGGGGGAGGGAGGGGGGAGGAATTGAAAAGCCGGATCCAAAAAACCCATTTTCAATCAGTAAACTCAAGCTGCTCCTTGTATAACCCGGCAGAGACACGAGCGTGTACATTGGAGGAGTGAAGGAGAGGAGTAATAATGATCTCTCGTCGTTCTCCCTCTGTGCACTGCGGGCAATCCGTTATTAAAAAGCGAATCGTCCAGTAAGCTCTGCGTCCAATTATTACAGTCACGTATTATATAGTTGAAACATCCGGTCACTAGTAGCATAATGAACCGGTAAAATAGTATGCCAAAAGACGTAATAATATTATATGTATATATATGAAAAAAAAAAAAACGCGAAATACTGCGCATCGAGTTTTACGTAAGTATGTATTATAGTGTCGTAATGATGCAATAATAGTGTACTTATTCTGCGTAGGTGTATACAAATTCGTTCAGTAAAGTATATCATTATGTTTTATAGAAATTTGAAAAATGAACAAATTAAGTGAATATTATTTTCGGAAGGTTGTGTTCGGACGAAATACACTGAAACCTATTGAATATCAATTTTATACATATAAGGACAAATAATAAAAGAAAAAAAAAACAAAAAAGTCATAATAATTGTATTTTGTAAAACTCCGAAATATATTTAATATAATATCATAAAACCTAATTTCGTTTTCTATACTCGAAAACATGATTTACGTCATCGTTTTTTTAATTTAATTTTTTCTTTAGTTCGTGAAAACCTACGGGATTTTGTTACATTCTTAATATTAATAATATTTTTTATTCACGGAGAAAAATTCCATTTCTTACGTAATAAAATATTATTTATAATACACGAGACATGGCGACGTAATCTTAAAGGGTTAAATTTAAAGTCCGTTTGTCTGTCGGCTATATCGATCTTGATGAACCGTTGACATTCAAAACGAGGTAAAGATTTTTATCTCGAAACCTAACGTGGCCCAGAGTTGTATTTTTGATATTTTAAATATGAAAAATCGATATATTTTTTTTTTATTTTTTATTTTTTGGTCGACTTTTGTGTTACCTCGATGACACGGATGTAAAATTAAAAAAAAAAAAACGGTCAATATTATTTATTGTTTAATCTGATTGACACTGACTAGCCACTAGTCAGTACTATTTTTAAAAGATAATAATTACCGGGCAACGATTATTATCTATGATAATAGGGATAAGGGAGAACACGCATTATACCGAAAGACTTGCAATTTTATTTACGAAATGTATACCACTTCTCCTAAAACAGTGAACTGTTCATAAGCAGATCAGGCTTTTTAAAATTATATTTGTATTGCGCTTTATTTTAAAATAAAAAAAAAAAAAAACTATGTCTGTAATTTTATCAATTTCCCGTAAACATTAATAAATAATGATAATTAGAAAATAAGAAAGAATTGATAATTGTTCAGAGGTTTTCTGTGTATAGGATTTATCTTTATTTCTAGTATATATTATAGAATAGTTTACGTATTTGTATACATATATATTCAATTGTTCTCTTTTCGACATTTCAATGTAATCATTTTAACGACAATACCCGCCGGATAAAACCGTTTTGGTCTGATTCTAATCGATGATTCATGAATCAGACATTTTTATATCGTATTGTGTGAATTGTGTAAAACATTGTGTAAAAAACATGTGATAAATCTGTACGGTTTGGTACAAAAATGGCCAATTTACTGAAAAACAATAATAATAAGAAGAAATTGTATTACATATAATTATAGACTTATTAAGTACAATTTTGGAATTTTCGGAAATAAATTTCTTTTATTGAATTTTCGATTTACATTTTTTGACATTATTATCTACTGTGCAAAGTCACGGAAAGTACACTTTGATAACGATCGAAACCGTCGTCGTTTATAAACGATAAATCTATATTTTGTATAATATATAAACATTAAGTATATGACGTACTTGTATAAGTAACTCGAGTATAGACACTAAAAAATTATTGTTGTATGAGTTTTTATCATATATATATTAACGACTGGAGAAATATTATGTATTACAGTGTTTTAAAATATTCTCCTCGACTCCCTTATACTTTTAATGAGTATGAACTTTTGTTTATTCAATTGGCAATCCTTCTCATTTTCAACACAGATTTGAACGAAAATATTATTGAATAGTATTGAAACGCCGATAAAAAAAATCGCCTTGTTATTGAAATGTATGTTATGGTTAATATTGTAAATTGGACAATGTAAACTTTTCGTCTTATTAAACCGATTTTGCGCTTTTATTTTTAATGTTTCAGTAAATTGGCCTATCATCAAACATAAAGGTAAGGACAAATTCTGTGTTTGTACGTTGATTTTTTCTCGATATTTATTTTTTCCAAACATGCAAAGTATGACAATTTTAAAAAAAACTTAGTATTTCGTTTGAAAATTAAAATATCGAAATCAAACCAACACAAAAATACAGACAGCGTTCTTATCTTTAAGCTTGATCACAAGTCAATTCACTGTAATATTAAAACTGACAACGTAAAATCGGTTTTATTGAACGAGGAGAGTTCCGATTTTCAAAATTAGCCGTAACGTGTATAAAACCGTCGTCGGCCTGTACGAACTAAAGTTCGGCGGATAGAAAAGCTATACGCGCAGCACGAAAACTCGACCCTCCGAGCTTATTTTTGCGCCAGTGATTGATTTCGAGGGATGATTGCACACGTGTCACCCGACACGACTTTGCGGGCGATGATATCTGTCAAAAATATAAAATTTTGGACGTTCAAGCTGTTTCAACAGTGTAATACGATATCCATCTACGTTCACGTCAAATGTACGTAATTCTCATGAATTATTTAACGTTAACATTAGAGGCTGCTACATAATATATCCATTTGCCCAGTCGTCTCCGTCGTACAAACGCTCGACGCATAGCAAATGTACGTACTGCAGAGCCAACTATTCGAGCCGTTCGTTTTCGTAGTCCGCCGATTTGACCGATTATTATCATACCAAAAGGGGAAAAATCTTTTCTTTTTATTTTTCGTGATATATTCTAATTCGTAAGCGAGATATTATAAGGGTATATCGCACATATCGTGATTTACCCTCAAAAACTATAATATTTTAAATACAATTAGCGTTATAGCGCATGCACATTTTTCGATATTATTTTTGCCGGCGATAAACAATACAAAAAAAAATAGAGCTGATAGTGTTGATGGGTGAGTCGTTGTTGGTGGGAAGCTAAGAACAAATGTTTTGAAATTGTTAACATTTTAATTTAAAACAATATTTTTTTATCGTTAAGTACCTATAACTTAAATAATGATAATTGTGTGAAATGTTCAAGCATTTCAAAAAATTGTATCCACAAAAAATTGAATAAACCTAAAAAAAAAATTCCAAAATATCAATTACCTATAAATAACTCTAAAATCTTCGGAATTCGATTATTTTAAACCAAATCACAACGAAAAAATCAAAATTGAAAATAATGAAATCGTTTTTGTTGTACATTTTTCCGGGTTTTCTACGGTTTTCCGAGTTCAAAAAAAACTATACGAGAGAAATTAATATTAAAGAATGATCATCTCAGTGCACTCACTAAAAAAAATTTGATTCCCAGAATAGATGTTGCTCTTGTAAGATTTCTGGTAGAAAAATTGTACACAGACAGCAAAAAAATAGAACACATCATAATACATTCATCGCTATGACCAGAATCTAAATATACTTTAAAACAAATATGCCACACCTCCCAAGTGTGCCATCTTATTGACTTCGGCATACTTAGTCTAACATATCAAATTCATCATTGTACTCAAATGTACGCATACAAAATAAAATCGACGTCCCTTTGTAAAATCTAATATCATCTTCCTTTATTTTTTTTTGCTTTCTTTCCGACTGTTTTTAATCTGTTCCCCAAGGATTGAGAAACAATGGAATAAAAGACATATATACGTGAATAGCATGACGGTAGAATACTAGCGGTATCACTATACCCTTGTGATTTTTTTTCTATTTTTTTTTTTACAAAGTTTTAAGGAGATCTATACACTAGTTTCTTTTAAGTCGTCTCGAAGGAATTCCAGAGATTTTAACCGTAGAAAGGTTAGAATTTAGAGAATTGGCATGAGAAGGGAGTTAGGAATGGAATATTTTTAAAATATAACTGCTCTTTCACGAACGGCTTCGATTTTTAGATCTATGCGCAGTGATAGTTTAGGGGATATTATTGATTGTGCGAAAGATTTTATTTTGAAAAGTTTGAATTTTGCTAATTTTAGATTTTTTCGCATTTCCCCAAAGTTGAAGGCTACAAGTCCACATTTGCTCGTGGTTAAGGATTTATATACTAGGAGCCGAGTAATTAATTTATTTAGTATGTTTTTAGTTGTTTTAGTATTAAATAAATACGAGAGAAAAAAAAAACTCAAGAGAAAACTTCAAAACATCCTGATGGTATAATATAGTATTTTAATTCGCAATTTAAAATTCGTTTTTCTCTATTGAAACGACAGATCGAATGAACGCAGACCGTTTGTTAAAATAATAATAAATATAATATATTATTATTATTATCGTTCTCGTGACCGTGTCGAAACCGAACCGTTAACCGTCGTCGTCGTCGTCGTCGGCAATTGCCCGAGGGCAATCAAGTATTATAATTATAATTATAAGACCAGGGATACGTAGTGAGTAACATAGATGTAATATTAGGACGTACTATATTTTAGCCTTTGACCCGTGGACCGTGTAATATCCTCGGTGCAGTGTACACAAACGTGTTCCGATGTTTGAAACGGGCGCGCCCGTCGGAGAACGGTTTCGTAAAAAGAAATTAAAAATATCGTAATAACGCGAGATAATATTATTAGGTACGGTACACAATGATGATAACATTATTATCGTCCCGATGCGTACGGCGTTGGGCGCGTTCGCGTGTCAGCCTGTTATTAATCTGTTTCGTTTAGAGATATACGACGACCCTTTAGACGCAGTTGTTTCTGAAACAAATACGTTTTCTGATCCGCAGACCATCCCCCCCCCTTTATACCCCATCGCAAAACGCCGGGCCGCTCCGCGGGATCCGAGTGTATACACACGCGCGCGCGCATATACGCACACATATCACAGCAGCACAGCACAGAGGTCATCGTTGTTGCGTAGTGTATACTGTATACAGGGTGATTGTGTCGAAAATTTCGAGTTTAACCCTATTGTTTTCGGTCCGCGTATTTTCGACATTTCAATCCGAAATGGTGGCGGCACGTATTTAAAGGAAGTGATTAGTGAGAATATGTGTCTCCAGTCTTGACATTTTTCTATTGTCTATTTATTATAACATGTATTTTTTAAATTCAAATTTGTTTACTTTTCAATCGGAAAAAACAAAAAACAAAAAAAAATAAAATAATAAGTCTGTAATAAGTGAATAAATCTATATCAAATGTACATAGTATAAATTTTCTTGTTTAAAACGAAACCAATCAGAACCACTGTAACATGCAGGAGGTTAGTTTGCTATCTGAATAGTATTATAGTAAATATAATAATAATTACTTATACCTATACCTATAGTTATTTGATTTTAATGAACGTTGACCTTGGCATATTAAATTATAAATTACCCAAAAAACTATAAAGATTAAAAATTGACGGTTCTACGTTACACAATATTGCCAATACAACCAGGACATTTTTTTTATGGAGATTTTCTATGTAAATTTGGGTTGGAAATAGATCCGAACACAGTCAAGTCTATTTTACATCCGGTAGAATACGATTTTGCTTACTGTTTGTCCGCTAAAACGGTAAACGATTGAAGTAGTAGACGTTGTAACAAAATATTATATTTTATATTGAAAAATTCTTTCCAAAAGTTAATGGGAATATTTGGTTAATTTCGAGCAGGTTTTATTAATGGAAAGAGCACACGCAGTATACACTAGTATTCACTGAAAAATGTCCTATGCTGGACTGATTTTAATAAATGAAGGTGTGGTTAGATTAATCTTACTCGCCGGAGTGTCATTGGCTAGACGACGTCTTAAACAAATTAATTCGGGGGAAGCGAACTATTATGTCTGTACAACCATTTAAACACCGATTGTTACTATTACGCATACACGCCTCGGTAGCATGTACACTCTGTACAAGTATACTAACAGTATTTTTGATTTATCGTCGCCATCCTTGTATGGACGTGTAATAGTATTGTTTTATTTTAGCAACGAATTGGGATAAAGCGATTTTTTCCGAACGTAAAGTTGACAATTTTTCAAAATATTATTCATTATCTGACCTTTGTTTTTTTTTTGTTTAGCTACAACTATAGAAAAAATGATTGTTTGAAAAACAAATGAGATGGACATATTTCGCAAGATGGGTGGGTAACTGTTATAGGTGAGAAGTAGAGGTGGGGTTAGGCGATACCATAGAGGGGAATTTAAAATGTATCTGTACGCAACGATTAATCATTGCTAACGTAAAACGATATTTTGACCGAATTTCAAGTTTCTATAAATATTTTTAACTAGTCATAACGAAAAAACAAAATTGAAAAATAATACAAATCTTAAATTTTCCCATTTTTCTGCGTTGTTTCCCGGTTTTTCCAAATCATTATGAAAACTTTCGGGAAAATCAAAACAAAATCTGCTTAAAGTACCACCCATATAAAAATTTGTTTTCAGAAAAGATGCTACCCTTCATATATCGGAGCAAGATTTCTGGTAGAAAAGTTGTTTAGAATATGAAAAAAAACAAAAATGAATAGATAATTATTCCTGTAAAACCAAGCTCACTCAGAATTTAAAACGAAAAATCTGAATACGTATAAGAGTGATCTAAAATTAAAAAAAAAAAAAAAAACAAAGAATAAAATTTTATTATAATTATTATTGTTATTTACTCAAAAACAGACGATACCCATTAAAAAATATAAATATAACGGTTTCATAGAATATCAATCACGCGCGGTTACCTGTAGCACAGTTTTGTTAATTTATCGCGGTGATTGGTTTGCCCGAACACTCGTGGTAGGCATTCTCGTAATATTCCATCACGTCAGCCGAATTAACGAGTTTAATTGAAAAAAAAAAAAAAAAATTTATAACAATAATAAAATACTAATAAAATTTTGTACGCATTTGCTGATTATTTCTCTCCGGCTTTTTTCTCTTAGCCTAATTTTATTTTACGACCGACGAATGGTATTTTTTACTATTATCATAAAAAACATCTGCCGCCTTTTAATTAAAAATAATCGATTCTTATCGGAACGTTAAGGCATAGTCGGGCGAGATCAGTAATTTAATCACGATAAGCCGCATCGCCAGCGTGTTTTTGATAAAATATTTGAAATTATAATCATTTTTACTCTTTAAAAAAAAGCGGAAAGTGCATCTTGGGTCATCATCATCTTCATCATCATCATTATTATTATCATCATCATCATCATCATCATCATCATCGTTGTTCTGCGCGTTATACTGCAGTTTTCGGTTAATGGTGTTTTTTTTTTTCTAATATCGAAAGCAGCGACAAATCATATTACGTTCGTAAAACGATTCTGAGTGGTGCTCGTTAAATGCTTTCTCAAGATAACATAATATAGTAATTTATTTCTATCTTCAATAACAAAACGAACGCAACGTAAATTTTCTCGATTTCGCGACCAAAATGTTGCCATTAAACTAACAAAAAAAATTCGAAAAATCTTAAAATATATATAATTACGATCAAAAAAAGCTATTATCCAATTATAATTACCGTGACGTATTTACGATAGTGAGTTGAGGAGTTCAACTCTCTCCTCCACGGGTCTTAGCATTAGTTGGGTAAATAATATTATAGTCTTATCACCGTAACAAAGGATGCGAGTTTAGTGAATTCAATGCGTAAAAAATCCGTTCAGAATGTATTTTAAAAGCGTCGAAACGTGATCAATATATTGTGTTTATTGAATAAAAGTATTTAGTTTTTTTTTTTTTTTTTATTTTATGCTTTGTTTTTTTTTCGTTCGAAAACATATATTCCACACGGGTGATCGATCCGTTTCCCGTACGCGTATTTATAATTGAAAAATGTGTGAAAAAAAAAAAATAAAAAAACGTCATATTGATTGACGGCTATATGAATAATAACAAAACCGCACGACAAAATGCAATTAAATTTTGTAAATAATGTACACGTATTTACCGAACGAGTCGTCGTTCAAAACGAACGGAACGTTTTCAATTAATATTTAAAAAAAAAAAAAAAATATATACATACGTACACGTAATATATAACACGGAGGTAAACGCAAACGTTCAGCAAATCACTGAATCTCTCTCTCTTTTTTTTCTCAGTCCATTCACTGGGGATTAATACCTCAGCTACCTCCACTCCCTGTATATATGTATATATTTACATTTAAACCGATTTAATACTGTTTATTTTGCCCGGTAAAATAAGGGATCCGCAGCTGCTGCTGTAACGTATTGATTTTTATTTTCCAAAACGTAGGCAGACACCCGTCTTGCATTGTCATTATTGTTAAGTAATGCCAACCCTCCTAACCGTTATAACGCGGAACGATAACCAACGGCAAAAGTGCGACTTTCGACTATTACCGCCGAATGTTACGAGCGAAATTTTAGCCGTATAACATTGTGCAATGTCATTTATACTTGGTTATGATAATTGTATGGCACAGCTAAAATTGACATTAAAATGTTCGGCTACAATGGTTCAAACGATAATTTGTATTTGTTTGTAACTTATAAAAAAAAAAAAAATAATAAAAAACACGCGATTATGAGATTCCGTCGCGTTATTATTCGCGGCATTTTTAATGTAGGCTGCAATAATAGGCGTAATTTGTGCGAGGGAGAAACTGCAACACATTTATTAATATATAACATTTTGTAATATTACAGTCATTAAAACTTTTAAAAAGCTATTAAAACTTTTAAACAAGTCAACATTATTAAATCATTATAACGTATTTGTATTGTAGGTAGGTATATTATATATTATTTATTCATTTATGACTGTATTTTACGTACGCTTTTTTTGTTGGCTACTTGTAAGTGTTTGCTGTTTGTGTTTTTTTATGTACATACTTTTTATATTATAATATTTTAATTTCGAGTACCATTATTACTAACTAATAACTGTAATACCTATTTCTATAAAGGAATACAACTGGGTAGGGGGGGGGGAAATTTGAGCCTCTTCTTTTTCATACCTAATAGATATTTAGTTTCAACGCTGCCTGCCCGTTTAAGAATTTACCCCGGATTACTCTTATATTATATAGGTGCTATTTTAAAATCAAAATTGATTGGTATAGTTTGACCCCAAAAAAATAAGGACGGAAAAAAATAACAGCAAAGTAACGTTTTAGAGCCGCTTGTTTCTTGAATGTTCTAAAAAGCAAATTCTCAATGCATTTTGTACTTACCGAGAGTGGGTGTCTTACGGTGTTTTGACCGCATCAAATGTCGCTATTAAATCCGTATTATTTTTATTGATTTCTCGGTTCGGTACCTTGAAAAACACAATACTATAACGCTGCGCTTTGCATATTTTTTTGTTCACTACCGTTTTTAACGTTTCTGTACTTTCAGTACGTGTACTAAATTACTCGTGTTTCATACTGGATAAATAATAATTTAGATAATACATTATTGATGGATTGATAAATTGGATAATAGATTATTATTATATTCTGTCGAAAATACACAATATTCGCAATATTATTTACCGCGGATCGTTGTCAATCTATTGCGAACATGCATGGGTACCTAGTTTATGATTAAATGTCGTTCTGTTGACAAGCTATTATTATATTATATTATACACGGCTATTGTTATACCAAGGTATCATGCGAATAGTTCTCAAAATGATTCGATATAACGTTTGCTATTGTCGATTTGATTAATCGCCACGTAAATATTCGGCGATTTTGTCGTACAATACTATAAAATAATCAAAATTGGCTTTGTGAAAAACAGCGAAACGGTGAACGAAAAAATATCGAGAAAATAACAAGTGTACCATGTTTAGATTCTGAGCGCAGCGAGGAATGTATTGGTTTTACAATGATGTGTACTTTTTTTACATGAACACTTTTTCAACCAGAAAGCTTACTCCGATTATTAAGTATAGCACCTTTTCCAAAAGGAAATGTTCTCTGAGCGGTACTTTAAAGAGGTCATTTTTTTAAATTATTATTATCATTATGTTTTTATTGATTTAATGTTTTTTAATAATCATTTTTGTCATTGAAACGCACGTTGTTATAATCATTTGACCGTAATATGTATGTTGTTGACAAAGCAACACTATCTCAACTTAACTCCCCTCAGAATCGTTTTTTCGTTGGCAATGATTCATCGTTGCTTACAGATATACATTAAATTTCCGTCTGTATCCTACCTTCCCAACTTCCCACCTAAAACAGAGGCTGCACCAACGTGTAAAGTATATCCGTCCTTTTTTATGTATTAATTTACAACGGGGTTTTTTTCCCCTTAATATTATCATTCTTTTGTTGGGTTAGAGCTTTTTTTTCTAGTACCGAAACAGTATCCAGCTAATAGAACAATACGGGTGGTAAGACTCGATGAAATCGCGTTATAAACGCACTATCGTGTATTATCGTGAGTGCGTTTTTTTTCGGAGAGCCGTTTTAATCGGTGTGTGAAGGCAAAGGTGGGCAATTTGCCCCCTTTTAAGGGGAAACACATAAAGGCAGAGAATATTAGAAGAAGAGTAGTGGCTGTCTTATGATTTTTGTCTCGAGAAGCTGAGGCTGACTATTAACATTAATTAACATTTATTATAATTTACATTAGCATCGCATTAGATAATTTTTTTTTTTATACAAATATCGGTAAAAAGTATAATATTATGATATAGATACTGAACAAAAGGCTGAGTGTGGGAGTTGTATAACCCCCCTTCCCTGTTTGACCTTACCAGTGGGATGGTAGTATTAAATGATATATTATCAGGAGTGTTGAAATCAATACAATTGTTCGAAATTAGCATGGGTATTGTAACTTTGTCTAGTTTTACTTGAGTATTGGTTTTTTTTCTCGGACATTTTTCGATTTATAAAACTGCACCAAAACTTTCACACCGTAACATAAAATGTACGTATTTTCCAACTGCAGTACATTATTTAAAACAACATTTTCTGGATTCCCAACGGGGAATCCAGAACTTTTATCTTGACTCTACCCTTTTGACTATCTAGTTATTTACGAACACTCGTCGCGTCGTTGCGAATGTACATTTGGCCACTGCAGTCGTTGTGTACTTGGGAATTGATTGTACTCCACGCCGATATTCGAAAGTTGGGTTTGTTTATTTTTCATGGAAAATCAGCGAAACAACGAAACGCGAGATAAAAAAACCAAAAGCCAATCGTCACGGTAACGCACGCGGTACATACGATAGTCGATAATATTCGTACGGACTAAAATAAAGACATTTTTAATCGAGGGGGGGTTGAGATGAAAAATGTATTCGATATAGATCTGAAAGGTGATATTTGTCTTCTCCTAAATATGTAAATATTTAATGCAGTCAATTTTTGTACGTAATAATGAAATATTCAAAAGGTTGTTTTTTTTTTTTTTTTATCAAAGATTTAAATAACATACAAATCAATAGTCCGACATTCAAGAACAATAATGTCTATCCGTCGGCTGACGAAGAAAAACCACTAACGAAAAACCAAACATTCGACGTCTGTTTTCTATTTATCTTTTTGTCACAATCGAATTTATACGACACCCCCTTGTAACTATATAATATAGACCCGAAAGCAAGCGAAATTCTACAGTAGGTATTTATCGATTTCTTTTAATATTTCCTGAATCTTAAACCGAGTATAAAGGCAAACACAAACGGGTATAATATTTACACTTTCAAAACATTCACTTTGACTGAACAAATAACAAACATACAATATTTGATTCAACATTTCATCAAATAACGGAACAACGCTTTGAACTATTTCAATATTCGAAATTGAAAAACGCATATACCCAATTATTGATTTTCAGTAAAGCGTTCAAAGTAAATAGTAATTTTCTTCGGATATTTGATTATTTGTTTTTGTCCTTTGTTCTCTGCGTTTAAATATAATATAATATTATTATTATTATTATAGTATTATAAAAAATTATATTATAGGGAGATTCGTCGATTCCGCCAGACCATTTTTTTATTTGGAGGAAATGTACATAGATTCTGCTAGTAGAAAAACATATTTTAAACCATCTATTAATGCTGCCATTTTGAAAATGTAAGTCTAACTGCACCGTAATAATTCATGGGGAAAATATAAACTTTCCGAACAAGGATTAGCTATAAAATAATTTATGTAGACATCGTATAGTTTTATCTGAAATTCCGACTGACCGAATTGTTCCAAACAAATTATATATTTTAATCCATTAACTTTAAGCAAATTCAAGTTAATTCCAGCCTTTTTTAAGTCAGCATTAATTTGTTTATTGCACGAGTTAGGCTTTGAGTAGGAATTTATGGTTTATTCGGAATACCGATATGATCGTTGGGAGACGGCGGGTTACTGCCTACATTTAAAAAGCTCTTACATTACTATTATCAACTTACAAACTCCAATATTGAACTTACATTTACTAACAATTAAAAGGCTATAAATTAAACGATTGGTTTGGAACGATTTTCCAGGGGATGGCTTGTTAATTTGTTAAACATTTATAAAATATACATTTTTATTAGATTATAATTGAGTAATTATGTCCGAAAATACAGTACAATTAACTAACTAGGAATCAGGATGGCCACAGGTAGAAATTGGTAGGTGGCGTAATTGATGCGTTAAGTTTTTATATCATTTGTACTGGCCAAATCGATGCCTATATATTGGCGGAAATATTAAAGATCGGTCCCCCGTATAATACAGTACCTTTAATTCGGTTTTTGCGTTCATTATTTATTTATGAAAACCTAAGGGAGGAAGGGTGAAGGATACGCTCTCCGAATTCATCCGAAAAATTGAGTCGTCAAAAACGAACTATTTCAATAATTGTTTTCTAATAAATAGACACCATATATACAACAATAACAAACACACAAAAAAACGTTTAATTTGTATAGTATAAATTCGTGGTTAATTTACAAACGTTTAAGTTTTATTCATATTTCAGACATAACCGATTACGCTTCATGAGGCGTTTCTTGAAAAAAATAAAATAAAATATATATGTAGGTATCTGAAATTAAACGACAAATATACTGGGAATACTCTCTGGTTCTCGTTTTTTTTTCGTACTCGACATAATTGCATGGTCGACTATATGATATTTAATTGAAACCGTGCAAAACACAGATTGAGTTTTGTGCTAGTACTGCTTAGTTGATATACTATTAAACTCGTAGGATAGACATTAAACAGTTTACAGATTGATTGATAGCTATTAGGTGATATCTATAAATTTATAGTTTTACAACCTAAACTAACCGATTCTCGATTTCGAATGGAAGAGTTAATTTTAGGAATACGTAAAAAGAGACAGTTTTGGGTTATTTAGTTATTAAGGAAATAATCGGTTCTACAATAAAGATGCTATATAATTTTTCGTTACACTAATACTTAAGGACTTTAGGAAGTGTACGCCAAAAAACAAAAATTTCACTATTTCATAAAACTTTGAGCTTAAAGCGTGCCCTATTAATTAAGTTCAATCGAGGTTAAATTTCAAGTGTCAAAAAAAACAAGGGTTTTTAGATGTATTGGAGCACATTTTCGGCCGGTACTCCCTAAATTGTATTACAACGATAATATCGCAATATTGTAATATTGTAGTCATTTGTTCAACTGTTTGTAGGGATAAACAATAGCGTCTAACGAAGGATTATTGAAAAATTACGCAAAACTCGTGGGAGAGGGGAGGGAAATCGTGAGGGATATCGCGCTGGCGTATAATATTCGTTTCGTTTTGTTAACTTAATACGTTTACTGCCACTGTCTTCGTCTTACAAACCTGACTTACACGAACACACACACACACATATAAATATCCGTCCAAAGGCAACAAAATCTATATTCGATTATATTTTATTTGTATTTGTATTTACACGCGTCGATTTTTACAAGTCGTACACTATATTAAATATATATTACATACTTGTATATATAATATTTAACTTAGGTTTCAATTTGTATAATATATCGATACATAGTTTCTATACGTACGTCTTATTTTATTGCCGGCGCAAATATTTCGATATAAAGTTTATACGTACGAGTCCGTAAATACGGCTGTGTTTTATGTCCGAACTCCGTTCCGCAATAAAATAACATTCTGTAATAATATTTATAAAGTGTTCCAAGAGTGAAATTCGATTCAATGTATTAAATATATATACAGGGTGTCCGGCGAAGATTCCACGCATTTATTCGTCTATAAACAAAATGGACAAATGCAAATATCTTCGTAGTACACGAGTATTCGTTTTACTACCTATACGAAATATAAAATCGCAGCGACATGAAATCGAGCGTGTCCGAATAAGATAGAACAGCGACTTTTATTTTGACGTTATAGAATTGTACGAAATACATCTTTTGACCAAAATATTATTGTGAAATCTTGAACGTGTAGTTATAGTTTTAGTTTAAATATGGATTCGTACCTAAATGAACATTTTTTAATAGTAAGTTCTCAATAAAGAGCGGTAAAACACTAGGACTGTAATTAATTTTGTCATATTAGCACAGATACTAATGTATATAGGTAGAAAGAAAAAAATTGTCGATACCCGAAACTTGTTAACACTTAATTTGTATTTTTTAAAAACCAGAACCGAAAAAAACGAAATGTTGTTCCAGTGTTTGAATTGGAAAAATAAAAGAAGAACACGAGACTCACTAGAAAACTAGCATCCCTCCCAATTATTACACTTAACGTAATTTGTTCATTTTTTATACACGGTTTAAACATAATTCAGTGAAAAAAAAAAATACTACTGCAAGATAAGTTGTCGCTTATATATTATAGATTTATTTTAGATTATATACTATTATAATAACCACATAATGAATAATATATAACGAATAAATCGATCCAGAATAATGAATAGGTAATCGTGAAAATTTAAATAACGGATAAAAATAAACCAGAATAATCGAATGGAAAATAATAAACGAAGAAAAATTATTTTTTTATTTAAATAACGTTAAACTCTGATCGAAATCGAATTTATACTTCGCGTGTCTTCCAGGAGTGGAAGAGACAACCGTAAATATAGTGAACGCTCAAATCGTAAAATAGTATGCTTATACAAATGAACACGGCCTATGAGGGGTAGGGAAATTTAGCTCCCTCCCCTCAGCCGCGCCACTGTTTTAAATGTTTGAAAACAATGTTTAATTTAGTAGTTATCACGACACACTCGAGTTCACGGCAAAACATGCGGGGTAAACGTGTCGGAACCTATTATAATTTGATCAGAGCGGTATGGCAAGAGTAATAAGTTTCGAGTAGAAAACGACGGCGGCGTGATAATCTTCGAGTTTGTTAACTGTATTTAATAGCTCCCGAGTGTTTATGTGTAGAGCTCTGTAAACTTCACGAGTATCTCGTAGGTATAGGAACCAAGGGCAGCCGCGTTCCCAGAAATTTTCAAAAAATAATTTTTCAATTAGTTTATGAAACGTCTATATATTGCTGGAAGCATATTGCTGTTACATTGCTTTTAGCTGTTCAGGAAAATATGATTTTGAATTTCAATAAAAATTGGAGTAGACGAGACGAATAAAACTGCCGTTTGATACTATTGACATGTTGTCTATACTTTCGGGGTTTTATTTTTTTTTTTTTTTGTAGACCTGCTGATTTACATCGAGTATTTTACTATTCGCGTATACTCAGAAGCCAAAGCACTGGGCGCACAGTGGGATGAAACCAATATTTAACTGGCCAAAAGGCCCATTTTTAAAACCCGAAAAACCCTACACTCGATTCATGATTACCTATTTTTTATGAGAATATTATGTAAATAAATTTAAAATTTGAGATCAATTAGTTGATTATCAAGTAAAATATAGCGGTTTGATTAGAAATTTTAAACTTTTGTATTGAATAATTCCAGTTATTACGCCAAAAATGTTTATTCATTTTTTCAGTCAAAATAGTTTATTTAAATGTTTTTTTCAGAATTTACGCTTAATATATTGGCTAACGTAGAATTATGACAAACGTTATGTGTAATAGCAAAAATTGACCCTCCATGATATTTGTTCAGTGGTAAAATTTCACTTGTGATAAACATTTGCTGGAAATATATGGAATCAAAACGATCGAATGATTAAAACTACACGATTTTCCGGACATCGAGAAAAGTCCATGAGTATTGAAAAATGTTTAGACGGGAAGGAGGATTACAGCGGTGACAGAGTGTACACGCGATTACCGTGCTTACGCCTAAATAAGTAGGTGGCAGTTAGGTATACTGCGTCTGTACTGACCAAAATCGTTTCTAAACCGATTTGGCGCCACCGTCTACATATACGAATATTCCGAGTAAATTCAATTTTTGGTTTATTTTTTTCTCGGTCATTATTGTGAGTCCCGAACCCCGATTAGTGTACATCCGTCACGTTTATCCCTCGTCACGTGTCAGTTAAAAAAAAGAGTGAGCACGCGTTTTTTTTTTTTTTTTTTTTACGATGCATTGGGTCGGTCGTTATAATTTATTACTTGCCGTTGTAATTTAAGACGATTCGTCTTCGTCCGTCGTCGCCGTTGTTTTTCTCGGTCTCGCCGTCGCGTAAAAATCTCCGTTTATAATAGGTCCGGCGGCGGCTTCTGTGTGCTAGTGTTGTTTTTTTTTTTTTGTTTTATGTCTTTTGGATACTACCTATACACTATACACACTACGCGGAATATAAGTATTATTATTATTACTAGTATTGTGTACCATGTGCCGACAAGCCGGGGTATTTTGTTTTTTTTTTTTGTTGTTTTCTCACGATGCGCGCACCTAAGAAATAAATAATAACAATTATGTCGCGATAACAATGATTACCAAGAGTTTCCGGTGTATCGGATTTATTTTTTACAGTATAATAGTAAAAAAAAAAAAAAAAAATCGCCCGGTAAACGATCTTCGGAGATTAACGTCCGGTACCTATACCCACGATCCCGGACCAATTAAAATCCATTGCTCGTTTTAATTTACCGAAATATTTCGTTTTCTCCGATTCTTATTTACTGTTTATAACGCGCGTATTTACAGACGGATAGAGACAGAGACACCGACGCGTTTATTGTTTACACAATGTAGTGATACACGAACACAATGTGTTACGGGCAAACAAATTCACAGTGCAGGGCGCACGACATTGTAATACATACTGAACATGTCGCTACTAAACGAGATAACTTCAGCCGTTCGTTGAGATACAATAAAATCGCTGTTGAAATATTACAGATAATGCTCGGATTGGAAATATGAAATAAGAGAATATAACAAAAGAAAACTTAACTGCAAAAATCAGCGTACCTTGCAAACGTTGCTAAACTCATCCAGTTGTAAAACGCAGGGGAGAGGGCGGCTCCGTTTTCACACACCACCCTTGTACTGATTTTTAAACACAATTCAGTGGTTGATAATTTACGAAAACACACCATTTAATAACTCCACCGCGGACTAAAGTTTTCCTCGCATATACAATACCTATACACATTTATATTAGATTCTACTATATTATACCGTTGATAGATTTATTATAAAGTGTTTTTTTTTTTTTTTCAAAACAAAGAATTATATAATCGCGAATTTATCGGGATTACTCCCACGACACGTTTTTTTCCCCTAAATCGGGACATTTTTTTTTTCGTTTCATCGGTCCACAATAGACGTTACTTTTTTTGAACGTTTAAATACATTTTTTAGTTATCAAAGAGTTTTTAAGGAGTACATGTATTTGTTTTTTTTTCCAACAATAAAACAGCTTATTAAAACCAATTCAAGGAGTATTGGTTTTTTTGTTTTTTAAAATACTGAACCCAGTAAAGGATCTATCTAGATTACAGTACAAACATAGGCTCTTTCTCCTATACATCTTAACTAATTGCTTTAACAGATATTTTTTTATCCGTACTCGAAGAATGTAGGTAGGTACTATCATAATATTAATCATAAAATAAGAATAATGACAGTTTGTTTGCGTTAGATTAGCAGTCATTTAATTTTGACTTGCCTACTAGAATTTATAGTGAAAATTCCCATTGTTTAGCAATTAAATTATAAATTCCGGAAATATTCCCTCACTTTTAAATACTGAGAAATTACCCGGTGCATCACTATGTATGACAACAAAACGACTATATATTACCTAAATTAATTTTACAGTTGCAAAATCCTGGCAATTTTCTAATAGGCACCGCCCATACCTAACAATATTGAAACATTATTAACAGTTTATTCAAAAAGACAACACGTATTGTATTTTATTGTATCTAGGTAGTTTTTTCTCGCTATGAGAGATCCGGGAAAAATATAATTATAATAATATGTTAAATGATTTATTTTTGTTTGTTTTTTAATTTAGGTTTAGATGAGGAATACGAATCGTCCACTATTCCCATGACAATCATATCTCATTCGTTCAGTATGGGTAAAGTTGATTTTACATATAAATCTACTTACTAACGATACATATAATAATATTGATGTTATAATGACGTTGGTGCAATTATAATTTCCGGGGAAAAGCGCAAACGGAAGAGACGTTTTTGAATGTCTTTCAGAGGGCATACCGCCAAACTTTTTACCTTTTACTTTTTTGAAATCAAGTACTTTTTAATCGAAGCTTTTGACATCACTTTTCGATTACCTTGTGGGTAATCGGGTTGGGCGATTAAAACGTAAACATCGTAGAGAACCTACAAAAATCGGTATTAATATTAAGAAAAAATTATCGGTTTTTTTTTTTTTTTAAATTAGTCATTGAACAATTAGAACCGATCAATCGTTATCCTTAGATAGTGTACAACCTAAATGGCTAACAACCAACCACTATCGGTTGTCGTACTATAAATCGACCACAGTACATTTATACATAAATAAATTGATATGGATACCTTTCAGAGATGTTTTTATGTGCGCTTTTCCCCGGTTTCGTTTGCGTATTTGTCATTTGGAATAATTACGACGCTGATAATCGCGTACCGTTGTAATAGGAACTATATTTGACGCTAATTTTTCAGTTAACATCGGTCGACGGACGGGATCTTGTGTCGACATGAAGCCGTGCGGCTTGGAAGCTGCTTGTAAGCAAATCGACATTAACACGTACAGGTGCATTTGCCCGTACGACAAAAGTCAGCCCACCGAAGACGGCAAGTGTCCCAGGAGAATGACCGGTAAGGTTTATATTTATTTTGTCGCCGTTTTTTATTACACGAAGAGGTTATACCCGTACGCGCTTTACCCTATACGGGGGTGGTTCTATCGCGCCTCGGCGATTATCTGGTACCTACGAAGTTTCTGAGTAAATTCAACTATGATTTTTTTCGATCAATATGCCACGTAGAATCGCGTAATGAACTTATTTGCAATACCATATACCATTTCAAAATGTATCCTCATTCCGTATACAATTTATTTAACAAAAAAATATAGGTATTCAATATCGATTACCATCGATTTTCAATTATCGATCCCTCGTAGTTTTTAAACTCCAATTTGGATAGATCGTAAGTATACTAGGTACTATAGTAAGTTTCTGGGTGAAAAATCTACTCTAAATATCCGAAGATAAACGCTGCGGGTCGTGTCTTATGTTTGGTACAGGAGCGAATCCAGGACAGGATAACGGGGGAGGGGGTGATTTTTAAAATGCATATAAGGCACGTATTTATGACAAGCCCAATGATGAATCAAGTTAAATGTACAACGCGACTTAAAGTATATTGGTGAGTGAACGAGGGGGGGGGGAGCGGTCACCTCTATCGCGCCTTGGATCTGTCCTTGAATCGGTACCTGTATAGGCCATAGTCGATGTGTTTTGGCTGAATGCCTTTTTGTTAACGGTATGTTTTATAAACTTTCACGCGCAGTGCCGGTCAATCCAAAACCGTTTATTAACTTGAGCATCAACAAAAACGAACAGAAATCGCCCCAGCCGACTCTGCTCAACTACACGGCGACGAAGACTACAACCACGAAGACGACACCGTCGATAACGACGACGACTAGTTATCCGATCAATACAACTAACGACGTGTTCAATTATAACGCGACTTTCTTTCCCGTGAGCAATTAATATTAATGTATTTTTTACGACGGTATTTATAACAATATGTGTTATCACCAATGGCTCGCGCATGGGGAGGGAGGTAAGGGTTATATCTCCCCCGTTGGCTTAAAAATATGATCAATTAATATTGAAATGCGTATATTTATCAGAGTTAGATTAGGGTTTTTTTTTCGGATCCGTCTTTTAAATTACCTACCCCAGTAAGTAAGTTATCTTGTGTTGACGTGACGTATTACTATATTATTTCATATTAAAGGAAAGGTTTTTGTGCAAATGAATACCAGTATATTTGTTTGTCATTGTTGGATAGCTATACATAAACTTTGTACGAGATTTCGCGTCACGTTTTCACGTGCATTATTACTAGGGCTGGAATTTCAATGTACCTTGCATTTTTTTTTTTTCGAAATATTGCTGTACGATGCTCGTATTGTCGAAAAAACATAAATCTATTTTATGTACTTCTGAATGAAATTAAGAATTTTTATTTTGCATCATTTTAATAATGTTTGGTGTTTTGGTTATTTTCTGTATTTTTTTTTTTACTGCATTTAGGCGGTATTTTCGGAGTTTTGGATGAAAAAATTAAAATTTTAAATTTTATTTTAAGATTTCCACCCGCAATCATGATTTGTATACAAATTAATATTAATATAACAAACTATTTAGTAGGTTCCCATATTATATATTATTATCAGACAATAGTCGTGTTGAAACCTAGTTAACGATAGTTAAACAAATAAATTCTTAGGCAGAACTAACGTGGTATTTTTAGAATTATTAGGTTTTTTTTTTGTTTAATTATTTGTTAGAACAAACGAAGCAAATAATTTTTTTCTAAATTAATAGAAGTTCAATGTATCAAATTTAAAATGTATTTATATTTTAATGTTAATGTTTTTTTTTTTTTGAATTTAACGTTATTGAACATTATTTACATTGCCAGCCCTAGTTATTGCATTGTATATTATTAAAATACATATTTGGAAAAATAATATTTTACCAGTAGTGAATAATAATGGATTACATTTTGTTGGTGAAAAATAATCATTGTAAATAAATTTTACATCTGTTTACAATGATTATTATATAGCACAACGATATAATTCTTTTAAAACAATTTCATCTAAAGATTTTAAATAACATATTTTAGATTCTGAGTGAAGCGAGGAATGTATTGGCTAACTATATGTGTGCGTATTTTTTTTTGTCTGCGAGCAACATTTTTACGGGAAATCGAGTATCATAAGCTGGCGCCACCCAATCAAAAATTAATCCAAAAAACTTTTTTTTTATGGTTTTCGGATCTAATTGGTGCATTAAAGAGGTTATTTTTATAAAGTTTTTTTTTTCATGTTTTACTCCATAAGATGCGACTTTTCGACCGATGGTACTTTATTTAAAACATTTGTCGACGATTTCAGCAGTTTATTCCCATTGTTGTTGTTTGATTTTTGTTAATTTCCTGGTTACCTTGCAACAAGTAAAAACACGACTTATATCAATGCTCAAAATTGTTTTTTTTTATTTTTTGCAGAGTATATAAATTATATTACCATGTATATTCTATCTTTAAAATTACTCACCACTTTTATACATAATAATATATTATTTTTAATTTTAAACGGTTTTTATGTTTTCTATAAAATGGTGTTTTTTTTCTCTTAACTAGAATCCTATCACATTATCAACACCACCAAATTTTTTGTTAATACTTAAGTGTTTATTTCTCTCTAATAATCCTTATCGAACATTTAAAAAACATTCGACACAGTTTCGTATATTGGCCGTTTGAACAAAATTTGATATTTATTAATGTTTTAAAAGGAAAATGTTTTTGATGAATATTAAATTAAATATTTGATTCGCGTCGAGTAAAAATATTTGTATAACATACATAATACAATATCAATATTTGATAGAAATACAACACTCGGCGAATTACTCTGTGTTTGATTATTGACCGAGGCATAATATTTATTTTAATGGGAAATTTAATTTGTGGAAAATAAATTAAAAATAAAACAAGTATAATAATAACAACAGTTTCAATAAAATTTTTGCTGGAACACGATTAAAATAGTAAAATACAATAGTAAAATCAGGATATTCCTTACTTTGTTCAGAATCTAAAATGTTTATGAGCGAGATAATTATTGTGTTAACGTGTTTCGTTATGTTTCTGTACATGTGTATATGCATAGTGGAAAGAACAGTTGGACGTCAATTTATTCGGTTACATGTTGCGATTGAATTTGTTCATGTTGGTGGCAGCGTTAATAGCGATAATTTTGACGGTCGTATTTATATTGATCGCGTGTTTGACTAGGAAGACGAAATGTTGTTGCAAGAAAAAAAACGTAAACAAAACCGACGTAAGTATACTTAGCACACATATACTCGAGAACAACTCGAAGCATTCCAATTATTTCCGTTTGTGTACAGTGTACAATCCTATGCATTATACACACTGGACTTAAATATGTATTGCTGTTTGTTTGTTTAGCCGCCCGTAGTGCCGTTGATGAAAGGTATTCTCCAAGACGACTGTTTTGCACTGAACCCGCAGTACGACTCGCCGACGCCCAAGACGAAAGAAACGATTTTGATACCGTACTTGAGTAAAAGCTGTATATCGTCAATGGAGGAAATTGGTCAAGGGTTTTTCGGACAAGTGTTCAGAGGTAAACCACGTCGGGAGTTTATTTGCGCATAGACATACTAATTGTCGACTTAATCTAGAAAAAAAAAAAAATTCTCACTAGTGCCCGGATTAATAATTCGGCACACTCTTTAAAGGGCGCTATACCCGCAATGTGCTGTCTCACTTCAACTAACGGGCGATATTAGAAAAATCTACCTCACGCAGTCTGTGTGCCGCTTGCCCTCCGAAATATTGTACTATTTCGATTTTAAAACAGATGTTTTTACCCTAAAACCAAAATTAAGCGAGTTCTACGCAGACTGCGTAAAGTAGATTTTGCTATATCGCCCGTTAATTGGACTAAGTCAACACACGCGGGAATTAGACGTGCTTAAAACGACGCTTCTTAAAATTGATTTTGTTTCGAGGAAGAAGACGAGTACCGATTTACGGTTATTGTAATTTGACATTGTTTTCGTAAAGGTATTATGAAACACCGTGACGGGAGATTAGAAACGGTCGCGATAAAAATGCTAAAGGATCATTCCAACTCGGAAGCCAAAGAAGATTTCATGAGAGAAGTCGAAATAATGACGTATTTCAGACATCCGAATATACTGACGTTGATCGGAGTCTGTCCTGAAGGTAATAACAGTTTTTTTTTTTATATATACACAGTGAAACTTCCCTTAACGGACACCTCTAAATAGCGGACGTCTCCAAATAGCGGACGATTTTTCGGGAACGGGCATATTTTCACCACTTTTGTATAGGAAATCCTCTAAATACCAGCTAAACAAGCTAAAATAACTGATTTTTTCAATAAATGTTAATTTTTATTTACATTTTCATTGATACTTTTACATACATAATGATAACATAATTTTAAATAATAATATGTATAATTAATAATTAATTTTAAAATAATACAAATATACAAATATCGTTAATATACATACTACATACATAAACGTTGGCCATAGTTATTAATTTCCCCGAGTTATTTTCGAGAATTTTTTTCCCTCCTGAAACCTAACCGAGAGTGTCCGGTATTTAGAGGTTTCACTGTGCATTAGTTTTGTGCCCGTTTCAAAAAACAACGGGTCACCGAACGCTGTTGACAATAGTTGTAAATTGTGTTTTATATTTACAATAATATCATGGATATTAATTGATTGGCCACGCGCCGGAATGTCGACGGACGTTAATTTTTGATTCGTATATTTATTTGTCGCGGAAATTATTTGCACGATCGAAAATTACGTTCTTCGTTATGATACCTATGTAATTACCCGTACTTTTTTCGTGGACTTTATAACTGAATTATGGAATAGTAATATTATACATTATTTTGCGGGGGTATACCGGGTGATTCATTTAAGCGCAGGCCGCGGCTTCGATATTCCGAAAAGTATTGACGTTTTTCAAAACAAAATATTTTGAATGTTCAAGAAACAAACACCCCTAAAATGTTACATTTTAATTATTTTTATCACTTTTATTTTTGAAAGCAAAACAGCTAATTATTTTAATCATAATTTTTAAAATAGTTACCAATATTAAAAATTCCATAAACGAAGGAGTATTAGTTTGAATAAATGTCGATTTCCATCAACCCTTCGACGAGATATTCCACGTTTAAATTTGGTGAAAGGGTATTTTTTCCCCGGATTGGATTGAGTTTACCATGTCCGGAAGCTGGTATGGTTCAAAGGGCCCCCTTACGCTATTTATCATTCAGTTTCTTCTTAAAGAAATGAAACAAAACCATAATCTCCGTCAATAGAGTCGAATTTTCCTGCAACTAACTTGTAACAATATTCTTTTATTTTTTCGTTTTTGAAATATAAGATATTGAAAACAAAAGGTTTTTCAAAAGTCAAAAAAGGTACAACAGTTTTGAAGATTTTCGATAAAAACACAAACAGACGATGCAATCGGAGGTAGGAAGTTTAAACCTTCTAAAGGTGTATCCTAGACAAAAATTCTATGTATGTATGCATGTATGTATGTATACACGTTTTAACTAAGTTAGAAAACTTCGTGAGTCTGTAAATGTTTTTAAAACCCGATATTTCCCGTGAACATACGAAATATGAGCATACAAATGGTTCGGGAAGGGGATTGAAATTTGAAATCATCAAAAGACACATCCTTACACTACTTAAAATTTCATCCCTTTGGCTTTATTTGAGGCTTCTGTAGGAGTGTACAAATGTACCGATACATATACATATATATATATCAGACAAAATACAGTGGAACAATCTTAATTTTTGGGGGAAATTTGACAAAAAAATAATGATACAAATGAAACGGTTGTGTAGAATAAATACAAAAGTATAAAGCAAATACATATATAAATTAAAATTGTGCATGCAAAATTAAAATAAATAAATGAACCAATGCGTCGCCCGGAGTATTATGATAAGTGTATTATACGACCGGGTTCGAATTGAAAATTCATCATCGGGTATATCACAGTCAAAATGTAAAACGCGACTAATATTTTAAGTACATAAACTCGTTTCTTGAATTGTCGACACGTTTTTAGTTTTTTGAATTATCGTGTGTAGCCACTTAAATCATCTTGTACGTTGCACTCGTGTTTATATTGTATATGGATTCGTAGTTGTTGAAAGTTTGAACACAGGGGAAATCAGAGTTTTATGTGGCAAAATGTACTTCTGACAAAGTAAATATTAAAACAAGACTGTGTATATTGTATACCACCGATAACATCCACTCGAACTTTACTTCTTACCTATAAACCCATCATTTTGGTTAGTATTAAACAAAACTTACTGTTACATAGTGTTTGTGGAAAGTTTTAAGTGGTTATTAAGCTGAACATAACGGTCCCGTCATAGATTAAAATATACTATCTGGAAAACTTTTGTTTTCTTGGATTCTGAACGTAGCTAAGATTTTGTTGATATTATTTTGATGTGTGCTTATTTTTTTTGACTGCCTGTCACCGGCATTTCTGCCAGAAAGGAAATTTGATTGGGCTCGTTTACTTTAGTGAGGTCATTTTTTTTTTATTTTCCAAGCAGTTTTCATTATAATTATCAAAAACCGGAAATAAACTTAGGAAAAACAGACAAATTTACGAAAATAATGCTTTTATTATTTTTAATTTTGTTTTCTTGTTGTAATTAACTTCAAAATGTTCGCAGTGACTTGAAATTTAGACAGAAAACTTACCTGTATATTTCCCTTTTCTAGACATGGTCAAATTTACAAAATATTTACGTTTTTTTAAACTATTTATAGACACAAAATTTCTGGACCAAACAGAAATGCTTGAAAATTTAACATGAGATTCGTTATAAGTTGCACTTAGTGGTCAATAAGAAAAAGTTGAGATTAATGTAGTATTTTTTTTTATATATGTATTTTGTTATCAAATGTTGACGAAAATACTAAATATTCGGCCTTTTAAAACACGTATAACCGAACTCCATTCAAAATCTTTTTTCGTTAGGAATGGTTAATCGTTGCATACAGTACGATACATTTTTCCTTTACCTTTCCAAATTTTCGTCTACAACAGTGGCCTACCCATTGTACGAAGTATGTTCGGTTGATTTTTTTTTTTTTTGTGTATTACGTGAACTTCTTTTTGAATGAATTTTACGATAGTGCAATACTTGTGATAATAATGGCCTATTTCTTAAAAATGTATGTATGAGAAAAAATTTCCATATTATCATGATACATTATTTTTAATTTTTTTCAAATGTTAATTTTGACTATAACTCCCACGAAAAAAAAAATGGTTTTATATATAATATGTATGAATATTGATAGTGTAACATTGTTTTAAACAGTTATAAGGTTAGACAAAAATTAATTGAAAAAAATCTGATACTTTTAATGAGTACACACTCATTAAAAGTATCACATTTTTTAACAGTACGTGCAAAGTTGTGAAACAGGAATGTTTTATGTTTTTTAATTTATGTTTCTATGCAATAATAAAATATTGCTTACGAAATAACGATTCTAAGGAAAATTCTGTTTAAAAATATCGTATTTCGTATAATTTTCATCAAAATTTGAACATACATATTAAACTACTAAACTACTGTAACTTTTTTTTTTTTTAACATCAAATGCGATTTGTCTTCGTCCTGATTTTTAAATTTCGATCAAATTTTCGTTTAAAAAATTACAGTATATTTTCATAAATCAAAAGTGATACGCTAAATAACGTATAATAACTTTATCTTTAAAAACATATATATATATATACAAAAATCGACTGCATTATAATATCTATTTTTTTTTTTTTCAATAACACATGATGTAAAATAGTCGACCAGTTCTGTTCAGTCAAAACTGTTTTATTCGTGTAAATAAAATCAAATAAAAACAAAAAAAAAACTAATAAATGCGTAATGTCAATAAATAGCTCAAAAATACGCCCAACATATTTCGAATATTTGACCACGTCTAGAAACGATAAATTTTAGAATTCTGCCAAAATTACAGGTATCCAAGACTATTTTATACCGATTTACAAAATACCAAAAAAAAAAAAAAATCTAAATCTTACTACGTTATCCACGTTGTCGATTTGGAACATTAAAAAAGTCAGCCATCTAATTCCCAGCATTATTATATTATTATCATAACCTGACCTAACCTAACCTGCCCACCTCAACCCATTAAAGTGTCTACGATAGCGGAACACTCGCGTTTTTCGGTAAAATAAAAAAAAACGAAAAAACGCGATAATTTTCAAACAGCAATAATCAATACGGGTAACGGACAATATATTACGAAAATATTTTATTGTCCGGCGGTGAACGCCGTTCGTTTTCATTCGCTTGTTGACGGAAAACGGTTTCCTCCCTCCCTCCCTCCTTTATCGACATTCGTTGTTCGTTTCACTGGCCGTCAATTAATAATTACAACGCGTTATGGTGTACTACGGTTTCCCGTACGGCCGTACAAAGGTTATTATAATTATGACCGTGAATATTTCCAGCGGTTTCCGCGGTTCGTTGTTATTACGCGTCGGCAACGCGAAACCGGTCACGCCGCGAACGTATAAATCGACTACGGCGCGAGAATCGCCCGCAATAATAAACTCGAGCAGAGTCTTGAATTCGACGTTCGGCCGCAGCCGCCGCTCTGCGCCCGGGCGGTCACCCCGGTTGCGCGGCCGCCCCGTCGTGGCTGTAGCCGTTGCCGACCGCGCGAATTCCGATCGTAAACATTGACGCGCCGCCCGCATTATTCACAAACATCGGGCGCGGTGCAAATTATCGCGAATAATCAGAATCGGAATATCAATTCCCCGGAGTTTGTCGCTGCGACAACGCGGCACCGCGTGCGCCACGTGCACTGCCGTTTTCCGCGCGGCGAGACGAACGCGTTTTATTTGTCGTGTGTTTTTCGTCCGTCTCGTAACGGGCTCGACGCGGTAAATATTGAAAACGGCCCGCGGCGTACAACGCGGTGTGTTGTACCGGAAACGGTACACGCGATCGTTGTTTGCGCCCGGGGGGGGGGGGGCGATTCGCGTTTTTCGAAATTCAAACTCGTTTCCCCGGCCGAAAGCGAAGAATACTTTGTAATTCTAATCTCGACGTCCGTAATTTCCCGGCGGCGTTTAGTAGGGGGTGGCGCGCCGGACGTCCTATCGGCGTTTGCGCGAGAAACAACATTTGCCGTCATTCGCCCGAGCACAAGGTACGCAGGGCGATTTTACCGAGCGTGCTCGCCCCGCGCGTTACGGTGTCGTTTTTCGGATTCATTCTAATTCTGATTTTTGGAAGTTTTACGTGTGGTTAAAGCCGATGTTTTCGAATATTCAATTTGTTCGCACGGCATTTAAGCAGTGCCCTGTGACGATACCGGATTGGGTTTTTCAAATGAGATCCCACGTTAAAAGTTCCATAAATACGGAGCATTGCATTTAATCAATCTCGGGGTCAACATTTGCAGACTTGAAATCAATAACAAGCTAACTGCCCGATTGATTTTGGCCAGTTGATTTTCATAACTGAATGACACCGAAATATATTTAAAGTAATACTCCGTGTTTTTATGGAATTTTTAATATAGGATTAAAAAAACAAAAAAATTTGAATGCATACAAAATTTAACGAAAAAAAAAAATAGGGTGGGCACGCATAGTAAATCATTCTGTATATATACAAAAAAAAAAGAGAGAACTTACACTGTGCAACGTTGATTTTAGTTTTTCGATTACAATTTATTGTACTGTACGACATTTGTTATTCGAGTTTGAAAAAGTCTTAAAATGATCAGGTTTTAAAACAAAACTAACTTTTTTTTTATGATACCGAAAAACTAAAAACAACGTTGCACAAAACAAATTCTCCATTTTTTTTTAACAAACATTTGGTTTCTCGATTACGTTTGTGATATTCCTGAGTAATTTCCGTCCACGTACGGTTTACGTAGGTTACGTACGGTTTTCACAGTTAAATCGCAAACGATAGCAGCAAATTGATGACGGTGTACATTTTAGCCGATTTAAAAATGAAAGTCAGATAAGGCTGTAGGAATTATTGTGTTCGACGAATTTCAACCGTTTAATAAACAGAAAAAAATTTTTTTTGTTTTTAGGTTCTTAACTATAGAACAGATTGAAAATATAAAACCGTAATTATTTGACTGGAACTTGTAAAATAGTCTTAATTAATTAAATTAGTCTAAATTATTCTTGTAGAATAATCTTCGAAAATGTGATAAAAATTTGTTCGCTTAAATTACCTACGAGTATGATAAAGCCAATTCAAATTACAAAAATATTTCTTATTGTAAAGAACCCATTCAAAATAATCATAATCCTTTTTTATCAAAGTTAATGAAATCCGTCAAACACAATACTTTACAAAGTTTTGTTGGCTTTACGGTCTAAAACGTCATGACCATCTGTGAAAACGGCCGTACTCTTTCTCTTGAAATGGGTAACCATCAGGCAGTGGAAATAGCTCTTCATTACGTTACCACCAGCAATTTGACAGTAAAAACTATTTTACGCGGGCAAAAATTACCCGAGCTTATAAATATTAATTATTCAAATTGTCACCATAAAAAAAAAAAAAAAAAAACTAAGAAAACTTGCACTGTTTTGTAACGTTGGTTTAATTTTTTTGATACCACAAACAATATAAAACATGACTACATCACGACAATGGGTTGACGGAAATTAAAAATATCAATACCAAAATTAATTTAAACTAATATTTAATCTATTTACGTAGTTTTTAATATAGGTAGCTAATTAAAATTCAAAAGGGGGTAGTGGTTTCAACTCCAAAATTAAAGGTGACAAAATATAAAGGAAACATTTTAGAGTTGTTTATTACTCAAAATTTTTATAAAAAAAAAAAAAAAACAATAATACTTTCCGAGACAATTAGTGTCTTGCGTTATGTCGATTGCCCTGTATAATAGTATAATTTGACCGAGTAATCAAATAATATTATGATTTTTATGATTTATTCCCGGTTCAATAATCCCGCACTCGTGATTAATATTTTGATTTTTGCATATATTTTTTTTTCCTGCTGGAAAATAGAAAACAAATGTTCCCCGTGGATGATATTCGAATTCATGGAATTCGGGGATCTGACGTCTGTGCTCAGAAACAGCAGCGACCAGTTTACAATCGGTTCTCCGAGCTTACCTTCTTTGAACAGAGTAAGCGAATATCATTACCAGGTATTATTACAAGTCATTTAATATTCAATATCTATTGTACTTTTAAAATTTGCACGAATAAAATACCAATGTAAAAAATCCATTTTAGATTCTGAGTGGAGCAAAGAAGCTTATGGTTTTACAAAGATGTTTATTTTTTTTAATTTAATCTGTGCGCAAATTTTCTACCAGAAATCTTGCTCTGATTTTTAAGTATAGCACCTTTTTTAAAAGAAAATTGGACTGGAGAGGTCCTTTAGGGAAATCATTTATCGATTTTCCCGAGAGTTTTCTCCACAAATATGAAAAACCGTGAAAAAACATGGGAAAACCGAGGAAAAACGTAGGAAAAATCGGTACATTTAACAAATGTCATTAAAGTTAATATATAATTCCTATTTAATTATTTTACCATAATATAAAATATATATTGTTGAAAAAGCATCACTATCAACTGAATTCCACTCAGAATCGTTTTTCGTAAGCATTGGTTTATCGTTGCTTTTTATTACTATTAAATTATCCCCGTGGTTTTTTTTTTTTTTTTTTTTTTTTATTAGGACGCGTTGTTGATCATATCGCTACAAATATCGGCGGGCATGAAGTATTTGGCCAGTCAACGGTTCGTGCACAGAGACTTGGCGTGCAGAAATTGTTTGGTGAGCCACAACTTGACTGTGAAAATAGCAGATTTCGGGATGAGCAGAGACATTTACACGTGCGATTATTACAAAGTATATACGAACACTTGATTTAAATAATTTATATTTGATTTCGTAATCGTGTTTTTGTGCGCCGTACGTTATTTTTTACATTGACGTGATTTGTTTACAGGTCGGCGGTTCCCGTTTGCTTCCCGTTAGATGGATGTCGCCGGAAAGCGTAGTGTACGGGAAATTTACACTGGAATCGGACGTATGGTCATTCGGAGTCGTATTGTGGGAAATTTATTCGCTGGGAAAACAACCGTACTACGGGTATTCGAACGACGAGGTAAATATTATCCTATCGATCGGAATCGGCTCGAAATACTATTGTGCTTGGGCGGTTCGTGTATTTTTAATAACACCGATAACATCCGTAACACGTTTTTGTTTTGTCATTTGTGTTTGTAACATGACAATACTAGTAATTAAGTTTATAAAAAAACTTTTTTTTTTTTAAATACAAACATATTGTACACGATCCAAGGATCAAGGAACAAACGTTTTATTAAATGTCGTTACACACTTATTATGTTTCTGATATAGAACTAATTAATCGTTCAAATGTTTCTCGCGGAATTTCGTTAACATTCAAACATTATAAACGACCCGACACGCAAATTCGTTTGCGGTTCGATACATGGATACTGGATATGGCTTCAAGCCTCCCTAATTACGTTTTTTCGTAGTTTATCTACGTATTATATTAAAAAAAAAAGAAAGTTTATTCACTGTAACAAAAACGATAATTATCGTTTTATAACCGCGTCGGGGGCAATAAATCAGGGAGGGGTGTGACGAAGAGGATATATTCCCCCGTCAGGTACCTTATTTGTCTTAAATATTTATAATAATATATATTTCATTATATCTTCATAGTCGCAAACAAAATTATGTAAATTATAACGATTGTTCTTTATCATTTTTATTTTCACGTTGAAAACATTTGTTCCGGTAATTTTCCTAAAGCGTCGATTTTTTCATCTCCCTCCCCTCACCCGCGGTAATTTACGAACAAAACTGTTTTTGTTTTTTTTTTTTCCCCCATCCACGTACATGTTGGATGGGTACGACGCGGACTATCGATTTAACGGTTCCGTGCGAATTTGCAGGTGCTGAAAATAATACACGACGGGATTTTATTAGACATACCGTTGAACTGTCCGCCGGTCATTTGCGTGCTGATGAACGGGTGTTGGAAAAGCGACCCGAAAGAACGATTGCGGTTCGTCGACATACACGAACGTTTGAAAAACGTCACCAGACAACCCGAACTGGACAGCCCGCTGCCCCGGCCGCCGGCGTTGCCGGCCATCGTCGACCATCTGAGCCTGCGAAAAATCCCGTCGGAAGAACTTTTGGACGTCGACAATTACCTGCAGCCCGACGAACCGGACAACACCGTCGAGTACATAATGCCGCTGCCATATTAAAAAAAAAAACCCCTTTTCATGTTCCTTTCGCTATTTCATTCGCGCGTCGTCATCCAATAGGCACGCGTTTTAATATCGTATTATCGTACGGCGTATTTTAATCTACACACACACATATATATATATATAAATACACTATTCTAGACGGGGGGAAAAAAAGTCATACACGGATTATCGTGTATGAAACGATATTATTGTGTCGAATTATTTTTGTTCGCGTTGATTGCTCGGTCCAGTGACGTGCCCGGGGATAATCCGCCGTCCGCTTAATCCGGAAACGCGCGCGCATCGATGTGCGCCGCAAACTACGCGGGAAAAGTTCGCGGACTTTTTCTCCGCGGCCCAACGGCGGCCCGTCAAGGGCCCGCGTCGCCTCTATGCGTACTAAGCCTTTTCCGTATTTGTCTGTCCAACGCACCTCTCCCCCCCACCCAACCCCTCCCGCACCCCCATCCCGCAC